GGCGAAAAAATTCAAGATTAGTTTGGAATTTTTATGCTATTTATTGGATTTTTTTTATTGTGAGATTTTGAAGAATGCAAGATTTTGTTATTAGCTTTTTAATAAGCCTTTGTATATAAGAAAAGAAATTATAATGAGGGTGATTCAAGCTAATTTATGAATGGAAGTTTTGAAGGCTACAGCTATAGCAAGCGGCCAACTTTTTCCTTGGTTTGGCTCTCATTTCTTCTTTAACTTGTTTATTGACCTTGACAATTGGAAATTTGTAGCTTTAATTAAGTTCAATGAATTAAATTTTAACTAGATTTAATTAATAATAACTAAATTATAGATATTTTAGTGAGAGGGATTTTAAATTTGAGATTAGAATTAAGAATTAAGTGCATCCTAGCAAAAAAAAAGTAATTAATATATAAATTATACTTAGCCTTTGGACTACGTTTTTATATTTGAGTTCATTTGAGATAACATTGTGTCTTCTTATAATCTACTTCCAATTAAAGATTCAGTGTTGTTCTAAGGAGGCTTACCTTTTTGACATCGTATAGTAACACAACTAATAGGTGAAAGAAGGAAGAAAATATTTTAGTATAGAAGAGCCTTATTAAAAAGATATAATCAAAAAATATACATGAAAGATAAGTAGGTATGAAAATCTTATAAGACAAGAATTGTCTTTTATGAAAATAGATTCTACTTACTTTGTACAAACATAAATAAGATAAAACAATGTAAATTAAAAAATAAAGAATATAAGAAAATATAAGAGGGAGTTAGGAGTTGATTTTAGTAAAATTTATCTCAATAAAATAAGAATTGATACTTGAAGAAGAGTGGTTATCAACCAAGATCAAAATCACACCTTAAGGCACAAAACCAAGCACCTATATCATTTTCAATGTTCTTTTATAAATCAAAGAGTGAAATTTGAAGACAAAGTAAGTTAGGCTTCTTTAAGTATTAATTTTGAAGGATTTGAGTTTGTAATGACTTTATAAGAGCTTTACAAAATTAGAGTTGTTTTCAATGACTCTGATTTTAATAAAATAAAATAGAATTGATATTTTGAACAATTTTGTGAATTTTGTAATAGATCTACAAACTTCATTTTTAACATTTGTATCAATTTTAGGATAATTCAATATTTTAAGAAGGAATTATTGGCAGTAAGAGCTTAGTATCAAGGTTAGAGAAAAAAAATCATACAACATCCAAATGGATTGTCTTATATTTTTTTCAATTAGTAAATGTAATGAATCCCATTTTTTTCATACTTGTTTATAATTAAGTTGTTGAGAAGTGTAAAAATTTTGAATCAATATCAATAGTATAATTATTAATTATTGAGGTTTCAATCTATTATAGGATTTGTTAAAATTTTATTTAAGATTTAGGATTTCATTAGGTTTGGTCTAGGATTTAGGATTTCATTAGACTTTTTTTCAAGATTAGGATTTAAAATTTGATTAAAATTTAAAATTTGATTAAGATTTGATCTAGATTTTTGTTAATATTTTATTAGGATTTAAGATTTATTTAAGACTTAATTAATATTTGTTTTAGATTTCATTAGAATTTATTTAGAATTTGGTTAAGATTGATTTAGAATTTTATTAGGATTTTTTGAGGATTATATTAGGATTTGATTAAGATTCAATTAAGATTTTTATGTTTGATGTTTATTTAAGATATTTTTATTATATACATACTTTTTTAAGATTAATTTATGATTTCTTTATATTTATTTTATAAATTCTTGAGACTTCTTTTGAAGTTTAATTAATATTTTATAATTTAATTAGTTTTTATTTAGGATTTTATTTGAATTGTTAGAATCATTTATTGTAAGTTCTGTTTTATCTTCCATAGCTATGTGACTAATGCATTTTCAAGCACATTTCACAAAATATAATACCATAAAGAAAGAAAGAGAGAGAGAGAGAGAGAGAGAGGATGATTGAGCATTTTCCTTTGCAGCAATCCAATTGTAGAGACACCTTAATGTATAGAATATTGGCAATAAAAGATGCAATGGATTGGCCCATCCTGTCAAATAGTTGCAGATCTACCATCAATTATTGCTCCAATTTTATGAAGGATAATCATATCTATGTCTTCTTCTGCCTATTCATTGATTTGAATGTTTTAGTATTATATTGTGTTGGTCGTAACAACCTTTGCTCCATCTAATTGAATTATATATTTCTTGCTATCACAAAGTCATTAATTTTTGTGAATTTTCTTGTGTTGAAAAATGAGGCCCTATTTTGTTCACTTGTAATCCATTGCCATGAGCTTAGACCTCATTGTGGCAAGTCACTTGTATCAACCTGGTCATTATATTTTTTGTATCTTATCATGTTCTATCTTCCAATTATTCTTTGTTTCCTTGAACTACTTGATAATCATGTTATATGGTCGTGGATATTCAATGCTTTGATAGAGTGGTATTTGAAGAGGTATACAAATGGTTTCTCTTTTTGCTTGGATTCCTTCCTAAGAATTTGTTGCAATAATGTTTTTTAATGGGCATTGAACTTTTGATGGAGGTTGTATATTCGCATGCACCTCTATTTTTGACCTTTGATAATATGATAGAACTAGACACTTTCAAATGAGATATATTGTAGCTAAACAATAACAACAATAAATGGGCAAGTTGTTATAATCAATTTGTATTTACTTTACATTCTCAATGACCAAGTTTTTGACCATGATAGATAATTGTAAGTTGTGCCAATAGTGATTCCAATACAAAAAATTTGGTCGGCATTCTTGTCATTTTTGTGATCCATATTCAAGACAAGACCTAAGCATTTTGCAATATCATGTGCGTTACTCAAGAATTCATCTAAGACAACTTCGAGTGTGATCCAAGTTGGCATCTTCATGCCAATTGGTCTGCTAAGATTAAACCCTAGGATCCAAAGCTATAAGATATAGGTGCCCCACTTAGAAAGATGAGGCATTTGCATGAGCAATTTCTATGTGGATGCCTCATCTTTGCTTATAATTTGGAAAAAATTGTATCCTAGTATTCTCCCAATTTGGTGATCCTCTTTGGTTTTTGCTTTGATGGAGCTCAGCCACTCTTGTATGGTTTTCTGGGTTTGCATCCCCCCACAAAATATGCTATGGTCATGCATTTAGACAGAAAATCCATCTTATTTTGCACTCTAGTACCATCTACATGTACCACCATGGCTTTCTTGTTCAAGAGAAATCCTGTGCAACTGCAAGACATGTCCTTCGAAAGCTTTTCACCTGACATAAATTTAGTGGGGTGAATTTCTGCGTACCTGCCCAGGCTGGTCCCTGCAACAATGAGTTCGAACTCGACTTGATCCTCGCATTGCACCCGCTTTGCTTGTCGTCCTTCCTCGAGGCGACAGGTGCGTGGGCCACCTGTGCCTTGACTACATTGGCATACGAGTCCATACTCCGTGATCTGCGTGGCTGCATCGTTGGCGTCCACTTACCGCCTACTCAGTTGATTACATGCCTCCGCATGGTGCCGCTGTGTTGCCAGTATCACTTGCTTTCCAACTTCACCGTGTTCACTGACGACCCTCGTCTTTGTTACTAAACCTTATTTAGCCCAACCCACCACCCAGAGACCTCAGTTGTCTTCGACTATTAACCGAGCGTGTTAAAGTAACAAGTTACTTCCTCTGTAATGATTGAACGTGTAAAAGCCCCTTTGGACATCATGTCTGATCGGACAAACTCACAGTCGCTATTCGCGTACTCGCGGAGCGGAACCCTGAAGCCGATCGTGCCCCTCTCGTTCTAACTCAGTTTGCAGCTTTCGCCGCCTTTGACAAGACATTGAAAAAGTCTAGTGTCAGGAGGAAGTCAACAACAGAGTTGTGAAGCTAGTTCGAATGTTGTGCTTGCATCATCCCCTGTTAGAGAGTAGCTTGCTGCAGTAACCAGCAGCACAACGAATTTCAGACATTCCGTGGCACAAGTCGGTCTGTTTGCGAGGAAAAGCATGCAATTGGTCGGCGACCTTTTTTCGCAATCCTCATGCTGAAGACCCATGTCAGCGTTGGGATCCTGCAGGTCGGTGAGAGGATGAGCTCCGCATCTGAGACACTGATGGCAACGGAGGAGACCCCGTCGGAGCTGCAAATGTCTTGGCAGCTGTCGTTCCTGGTGGTTCTTTCACATGGCTTGTCAAAGTTGATAGGACTGATGAAACCTTACCGTGGTTGAAAGAAGTCTTTTCGACTGCAACCGCATCGTAGTCAAATACAATTGGGGCAACTCTGTGATAACATGTGTTGCAATGTGATCAGACTAGTCGAATAAAGCGAGCAACTCCTTAATCAACACCTTCACCATGGATGGATCCCCTGCTCTGATATTGGTAAAAGCCGGTTTTAATACATGTTTGACAAAAGGATATATGAACACGAAATTGTTTTAGATATGCTCACAAAAGGATACAGGTCGTGATATTGTTCACAAATTCTCAAGTAGCCTTCACTCTATTTCCCAACACAAACGTGTCCCGGCAGAAGTATCAGACCAGCTTCTGGGGCCTCCGAACCCCATCAGTTTTGCTCAGGTCGCTTCAAGGTAACCTTGGTTGACATAATACATAATTGAGAAAGTATTCTCACGTCGATTCCTTCGTTTCAACAATTCGCTCGAGAGAAATGTATGGTACGCACACAATTTGGTTTATCCAAGCCCCACTCCATTTAGAGGACAAAAATCTCTGGAAAGGTTCACAATCTCATCTAAGACAAAGCCTTCAGCGATTTACAATTTGGTCTCCAAGAGAGCTGCACTTTGTTTATGTTCAAGCAAAATAAACAAGAATTTCGATAACAAGAAGCAGGACTTCGAAAGAAACGGGCGAAACCTTAGAAGAAGCTTACATATTTACCATTATTACACGCATCCCAGTACATTGTAAACGTTCCTGTCAATGTTAAGCCCACAGGGGAAGACCTCACAAGCTCGCTCAAAGTTTAAGGGGAAACCAGAGAGATACAAACAGAAACAGAACTTCAATTATTTAGATACGTTAAGGTGGATCGTGACAGGACAATAATGTCATCGCGACTCCTGCTTTACACAAACTAGTCACTGCAAGGACCCCACCGTTGCAATTGATCAGCAGGAGGATTGTAACCGATTTTGCACGATGCAAAAAAGCGTGCACTCCTATAACTCTCTCTCTATATATCGGCTCGCCATCCTCCTCTCTTCTTGCATTCAATTTACACATGAGCATCTTCATAAGTACCTATCACTACTAAATACATCAGCACTGTCTCTTACACCGTTCCTTGACATTATGCTAACTTGCTCCAAGAATCGTTCTAGTGCAATTGTTCTAGCAACGCCTCTTGCATACTTTATAATACTGAGAGAGTAATGAAGTCTCAAACACTCGACTCAATTAAGGTTCCACTTAGGCTGTGAAACCTCACACATCGTTATCCTGAGAGTGAGTCTGGACTGAATCATTCTGACTATCCAACGGCATGTACTGAGCCATAATCGCTCGAATCTCTGAATCCATGTATGACTGCACGAAGATGCATCCATGTTCAAATGTCAGTAAAAATAATCACAACAACCAATACAAGAAATTGGAACATGTGAACGTTATGCTTCTGTATAAACTCAATCCAAAGAAAAGCTGTGTAGCATACCCGGAGACGGTATTTGTAGACAACGTAGCCACCAAGCCCAAGAACAGAGATACCAGCCAGGACGATAAGTGATACTGTCAAGCCCAGCTTGGATTGCGAACTTATCCGATCTGCATCATTAATTTAAGATTAAAGGGATAATTCAGCATTCTGCTAATGATCCTTGCAAAAATCTAGTGAATACATTTAACTGTTTCCATCAAAACCGTTTACCATACTGCATCATAACCGTGCTGGGACACTCAGAGCACTTACTTATGCACGTATCATGCTCCTGCATATAGAGAAGCCCGCCAGAACATTCGCAATTGTAGGAGCCCCAAGTGTTGGTGCATTTACATTCAGAACACTGGCACTTGGTCTTTTCTTTACATTCGTTGATATCTGCACCCAGAACATATTGGTTGAGACATAACCATCATTCATTACTTACGCAATCCCTTACATGCTTAATAGTGGCAGTAATAAATGCCCTGAATACCATTGTCTAACAATCTGGTGCATTGAAGCTGTAATTGAGGCTAGGAATAATGATATGAATGTTTACCTACGCAACCATCGGCACCCGCGGTTCCGTTCCCTCTAAAGCCTTCGGGGCACTGGCACCCTGAGTGTTGATTATCCTACACATGCTCCGTAATAGTCTCAATAACTTTGTGTAAGCGCTTATCAGATTGCACAACGACAGAATGAATCCATGTTGAAATTAGAGACGCAACTCTCTATAAAAAGCTACAAAGAGACAGTGGGCACACACCTGGCAAGCCGAATACCGGATGTCCCCCTTGGTATCCTCCCAACACCCACCATTCAGTACCTTGCAACGCCCGGATCCATTAGCTTCGCAATGAGTGTAGCCGTCACCTTCCAATTGGACGCCAGAAACAAGAGGACATTGACAAATTCGACCTCGGAAAGTGTCCTGCAACGAGAGGAGCAAGTCACACCGTTGAGACAAACACCTAATCCAAATGATTGCAACCGAAAATGAATGATTCCTGAAATATGTCGAAGAAAAGTTTACTTGACTATAAGAGATTGAAGACACAGACAAGTACCTGGCAAGCGGTTAAGGTGCCACTTTTCCAGCACCCTCCGTTATTGTCCAAACACTCATTCGTCTCCACTGAGTCGCTCAAGCAAACAGGGGGATCTGTGGATTCTTGGTAACCTGAGCAAATAGCCTTCAACACTGCCGTCTTGTCCAATTTTCCTACAACCGGCCGTAAAGGGTCAAGAAATTGGAAAATTGAAGTCTACCAGATATAATCTCTACATCTTAAACCTGCTCTTGCAATTCACAAAGTAAGAACCAGGCTAGCAAAAAAGATGGCAGACCTCTGTATTGCCGTTGGTTGACAATGAGAGTCGGCAAGAGAGTTACATCTCCCCGCGTGCCTTGACCAACCTGCGCGTCCTGCTCGTTTCTCAAAATTGGATTCTCCTCGTCCGCATCTGGATTGCCCATACACTTGCGTACGGCTTCCACATCGATTGCTGTGTTTCAAAATGCTTTGAGGGTTTAGAACAAGAACATCTTCTCAAATAAAGCCTCTCTTAGAAAAAGAGCAAAACTTTTAAGCGATGGAGAGAGTTCAAGTGATTACAAAGAGATTTAATGACTTCTTCGGCACACGCAGGGCCATATTTCTTCTCCTCCATCGGACAGCGAATCTGGAAATCAGTGACGAAGTCCCACCACTTCCATGGTTGTCGGGGGCTGGTTTCGTTCGTGACCTTGAACACGCACAGCTGCCTGAGATTCTCGGTGACCACTTGCTTCCCGTCGTACCCTACGGAAAAGTCCTGTTCAGGATCTGGAGCACAGTAACGACCGTTGTTGATGCACTGCGCCTTGCACTGCTTGCTCTCAATGAATGCCTACAATTATTACATGAACCACGCACAGAAATGATTGGATTTCGATTCTGAGAGGTCGGGGCTGATTCCAGTTCCTATTAAACCCTAATTATTTAATAATCTCATGTAGAGAATCCGCCACATATGCCAAAAAATACGGGTGCGAAAGCACTGTTGTACCTGAGGGCAATACCACGTGATGTAATGAGGAGTGAATTGAGTGTAACCCCCGCGCTCCAGGATCTGCGCCACGCCCTTGAAATTGCGCACAAACTCGACCTGAGCATCGCATTTGGGGCCACACTCGTCGTTGCTGTTGGTCCAAAACTCGTACTCCACGCGCTCGTCCGGGTGTGGAAGCGACTCCCGCCAGTCGAGCTTCATGGTCACCAGTTCGTTGCCGTTCAAAACTTTCTTCAGCTTATCCGCGAAGTCCTTCGTAATGAGAGCAGATGGAATAGAAATGTTATTTAGGTACTGGGATGCCGCGGGATCCTCTTCAGGAGAATCCATGGTTATGAGCTCCTCCTGCTTGTTGTCCGCCACAAGCACTGCCGCGGCGCCGGCTTCTTGCGCGTGCCACACCTTGGTTGCAAAGTAACAATCTGCACATCTCCAAGTGAATCGATCTCCATCAAATTCACTTAAATTGCGAAATAATCTACTTGATTCTCTGACGACAAGGTCTGCCCTAAAATTCGCATCACGCTCGTCAAATTGTCCTACCACAACACGCCATCGTTGATCTGTTCTCAATAACTCTTCTTTGTCAAAGCTTGAAAGAAAAATGATCGAAAATCTAGGTACTCCAAGTCTTGAGGTAGCTTTTAAGCGATTTCAACACCTCGCTCTATTTTTCAATCAACAAATATCATAAAGAGTTACTTGTTATGGGATTAGGAGTTTGGTATCTCTCTCCTTCCTACAAATCTAATAGCCTAAACCAGCGATCCAACCGACATTCAATTGACTACCAACAAACATTCCCCGAAGGTGAAAGAAGAGCCTAACTAATGATCACAACAAGATTTCCTGTTCAGGTGTTGAATTCAAATATTAAAGGCTGCACAAATTCGAAAGTCCTAACACAGAACTGCCATCAGTTTTTGATCAAGTACCTCTGAAGTAGCCACTAACTAAGAAAAAATTTAAATCCGAAGCAATCCTTGCTGCATGCCGGGAATATTTAATTAAAAAAAATGTTACAAAACTTGCAGAACTGAGATATCAAGTATTTGCATACTTATATTTAAAGAAATAAATACAAAAGAGACGAAAGTGAGGTTACCGCCACGATCGACGAGGGCGAAATTGGGGCGAGCGCCGGGCTTGGCCCGAAAGTGATCGGCGGGAAACACATCACAAGCCTTGAAGTTCACCTTCGGAAGTACCACAAACCCCGACAGCGTGCCGCCATACTGCGGCACTCCAAAATTACCGATAGCGCTCTGGTAAGTCCCTTGCAAGCTCTCCGGGGTTATCACCGAGAGACTATTTTCCTCCACCACAAAAGCTCCCATGCTCGGTGCCACGACCACAAGCACCAGGGCCACAAGAAGCCTCGCCATCACCGCTACCTTCTCCATACCACGCATAACAAATAAAGCAAAATAAAACAACAAACAGGCACTCAAACTTGTGCCGCAAGGCAGAAATCAATTACACCGAGACAACAAGCTCGACGGCATCCGTCCCCGATGGCGGAGCCTTCAAGCTCCTTCCTCAACGTCAAAACCACAATCGAATCCGACAACTCCCGTAATCCAAACCTCTTCAACTAAGCTTTAAGAATTACGGTACACTCTACCGAGAATCACAAAAATACAGGAAAAATAAACAAAAATAAAAATAAAATAAAATCCACTCTACCTCGTAACCAATCCCTCTTCGTTCCCCTCTCTCTCTCTCTCGCTCTCTCTCTCTCTCACACACACACACACACACTCTTTACTCTCAGAAATTTACCAAACGAGATCTGAACAGGAACTGTTCATGATCAATACTCAATTGAAGCTCTTACTTCCAGCTTCCAAACTCAATTCAAAAGAAGAGCAGCTAAGCCAACCTAACACTCCGAAGAAAAAACTCCAACTAGCGATGCGATGCGATGCGATTCGAAGCAACGAGAGAAAAAGGATGGCATCAAAAATGAGGGGAAGAGAGAAAGAGAGAGATTGGGGGTGGGGGAGCTTTACGAGAGGAGAGGGCCCCATCTCCCCTTCCCCATTTGCTCCCTCCCTCCCTGTTCCTTACTGCTGCTGCCTTTGTTTGCGTCCCCCTTCCCGATGCAAGACCATCCTCGGGACCCGCCGCTTTGAATGGTGGTGAGGCAGATCGCGGGCCGGGGGCGGGTCACGTGGGCCGGGCGCCAAGCGGCCCGTGGAATGGAACACTCCGAGGCTATGGGAACACGGAGGGGACAGTAAAGGCGACGGTGCTGCTCAGTCGTGGTCGTGTCCACGCTTGCTTAACTTTTTGGGAAAAGGATGCCCCGGTCAATGCATGCCCCCCCCCCACCCATCCCATCCATTCCTTTCACTTTTTGCTTGGTTCCCTCTATTGGCCTCCAACCTCTCTTTGGCCTTTCCCTTTAACTTTCTCTCCCTTCCCAACACTATATAACCCTCACACTATTTTGCATACTTGCACTTGCACACTCCGTGTCCCTTGATGTGAACCATTCATGGCATCCCCCACCCCTCCCTTATCATACACCATGTTTGCCTTCTTGTTACCTCACAATTGTGCAACTTTGAAGTTATTTGGATTTTTTTTGTGGGTAGTGTTTCTGTGTAGATTTCTGAAGAGTGTTTGTGATTTCTCACATGTTCTTTTTGTTTGTAAGAAATGTTAGTTCTGAAATTGATTTTATTTTCTTTATTTTCTTTTTTTTTTCCCAAATGAAATGGTATTTTATACTTGAGATATAGTTAGTGTTTGAAGACTTTGACTGTATCAAAATTAATGCAAACACTGATGTTATACAAATAATTTGATTTGTGATTTAGGACTGTGAAGCAAGGATACCTGTAATTTATATCTCTTTTTTTCTTTTCTTTTCTTTTTTTGTATTTCAGGGTAGTACAATTATAGAAATACAAGCAAATATGGCATCTAGGAAGGTCTTCTATGTCTATGCATCAGTTTTAAACATGCTTTTAGATTTGAAAATCTAGTAGAGAGATGTGTTTGCTACATTAAAAAAATTAAAAATTTAAATATTTGTATTAATAATTTTGGTCTATACAGGTCATTAAATTCTCTCATGTGCATGTAAGATGTATTTAAAAAAGATTGCTCCTTTGAATCTATGATATGCTCATAAGTAACATTACTAAAATATGTTTATATATAGTTAGTTAGTTAGTTAGTGTTAGAAGAGTTTGATCAAACACCATGACATGAAAAAAAGTTGAGTTAATAAACCAAAAATGATTATATAGTCTAAATAAGAAATTTGTTTTTGGAGGTTTTCATGTTTCATATGTAAATAATATATATTATTTATTATAAAATTTAATATAATACCTTCAAAATAATGATTTTTTATGAAGTAATTTTTGTAGCATCATTATTTTTGTTGTTTTTTAAAACTTAAGAATAAAAATGTATATGTGTTTATTTTAAGATTTTGAAGATTTAGAGATCAAAATATTATCCAATCAAATCGTTTTCATACTATTAATTCTACATTATATCTGTTCATATAGGATTATAATGTCATAAAGGTGAGAAATTCAAATACATACTGTATGTACAGTAAAAATATATATACTACCATTATTTGTAAACACATATTATGTGCTCATAAACATTCTTGGTGACACTAGGAAGTAAATAGAAATACATTGTGATACTAAAACACTAATCAAAACTTTCAGTATATAGCATAATAACAAGCACATAGAATGTTGTTCTTTATTTGCAATGCATGAATATCTACAAATTGTGAATTTATTTAATTAAGAACAGTGGATTCAAAGGCCAAAACATCAAAAGAAATTTTTGCAAACATTTCTGGCACTTTGATTGAAATAATTTTTTTTTCTATATTTGAACATTTTTATATAGGCTTTTATTTTATTTTTTCATTAAATATTACCTTATGAATAGAATTTTATAAGCTTATATATATATATATATATTGAGAATTACTACACGTATTAATATATATATATATATATATATATATATTGACCCTTGATTTAGATGTAAATTTTAGAAGTCTACAAGATTCAGAAAATAAAACAAAAATATAGAAGGCTTTATGTTTTGTCTTAAACTAGACTTGCATGCATTGATCACATTGCAAGTTCTATTTTCAGAAAATGTCATTCATTCTCTTATGTGGATAATTGTAAACCAACATATTCATTGTTTGAATTTGTACCGTTTTTTGAAAAAAATATCTCTGGTAGCATCCTAATTTTTCTTTAAAAGCTTAATTTTGTTGATATTTTTGTATATTTTTAAAAAAGATAATATATATATTGTTTATTTTGAATTAAAGAATCTAGGCTTACTTTGAATCTTTCATAATGGTACACAAGACATATTATTGGCATCTTGTGTATGATTGGTACATCTTCAAGCCTCTATATATTGTCCAAGGCTAGAATGCATTATGTTAAGGGGTGGACCCTATTTCCAAGCAATTTTGGATTTTTCATATTTATTTTTTCTTTTTTTATTAAAGCTTCTACTAAATGAGAAAATGAATTACAAAAAGAGTTGAAGGTTTGATCCAATTTATTTTCAACTAATTTTAATATTAAATATATTGAGGTTAAGTATCTACATCAGAACCAAATATCCAAGAGACAAGAGTAAAAACAAATACAGTAAACAAAAGAATCCTACATGCATTCTATTATAATGTAGGACCCACAATTATTAAAGAGGCATGCTTTATTTCTATTACAGGATGAATTTGGCTCCAGCTCCAGATGATTATATTAAAAAAAGTGTTTTCTAATAAGATTGTATAAACTTGAAATACAAAAACACTTCTTCTATACACCCAACAATATTAGCAATGTCGCTAATGTAAAAGTTATAAGCATTGCTTAAAAATTAATTAAGATAAGCATCCATAAATAAATACTTAATGACTTTTGCTATTCTAGAAACAATTCCCAAGAAGTGTGATGTCTACTTTAGAAAGGTAAATTAAATTTATGAATTTTTTTTAAACAATCAATCTTGTGTTGTGAACCAAAATCATTTTGATCTTGTCCAAATATAATCTAATTACAAGGACACAAATGCAATATTCAAATGCATACAATAATTAAATTTTTTATGTAAAATAAATTAATAATTAAATATAGTGCACCAAACTAATCACAATGCTACATTGGATGAGAAAAACTTAAACCACTTCAGTGTTTCACTTATTTATTTACTTTTGTCTTCTTAAGAGTTGAGACCACAGCGTAGTGTTTGTCACCTACTCCTATAATCAATTCAATGAAACACACACTACAACTCACACAAATTTGAACATCCTCAAAAGCTGATGTTCGAAAGCTTCGACAACCAGCTGCAGCCCCCACTCTACACTAGCTTTGCACACATTACGAACTAACCCATATTGTGTTTTTTAGAGCAGTGTGCTTCGTATAGGAATGTGTGGTAATACTGTCCATGGATACTCAAATCATGGTTGAGAAACTAACAAGGAGCTGCAGCGAGGAGCGTGTGAAGGTTGAAGATCCTGCTTCCAAACTCATGGTTTTGTGTCGGCATTCTCACCCTCATACTGTGGTTGCAGTTGTGGCTGCAATATACCCAACTGGGCGATGAGAATGTTCAACACCGATTCTGCTGCACGCTGCCGACTTAGTCTGGCCTGTGAAATAATCAACTTTCCCACAGTTGAATAACCAGCGTGGTTTTTGTTTTTTAAAGACAGATAGGCAAGATGGTACAGTGCTCGGAATGTCATTTCTGAGCGCTATCAATTGTTGCCTTTGTAGTGGAGCACATCGCAACTGGTTTTCGACACTGCAGGATGGTGCGAATAGCCCAGCTGAGAGAGAGGGATTGTTTACCTTATGCCGTTGAAGGCCTTTAATTACGCAACCTGCTGTGTTGTTAACCTGCATGGCATAAATCTTTTCTGAGGAGACGTGGCCTCGGTGTAAACACCGCCGTTGCAAGGAGGGACTTCTTTACTGATAAACTATTTTAACACAAAAGTAAGCATAAAAAACTTTCAAGCATCTGAGAAGGGTACAGTATCCCTCTCATCTGGAACAATCGGTACCCTAGCTGGGGTGTTCTGGCAGATTAGTGGCATCGTGCGGTGATTAGTGGCTCGGAACCGGCCTCAGACCTGCAATGAGGTCGCTGGCTGCGTCTGTGACCCGAAAATGACTAATTCCACCATTAAAAAGAACCCAAAACAGGGACAGTTTGACTACGAACCGATAATACGCACACCAAATACAGCCGCAATTTAACTGAGGTGATAGGAGAGGAGGATGTAGTCTGAGAATACAAGGTACTGTAACAGCACACAAATAGAGCTGACGCATACGCAATGGAGACCAACTGCAGAATTTTCGTGAGTGAAAGTTTGACATTTATACAACGTATGGAGGTAAAAGTAATTGAAATTTTTGCACACAAAGCTCTCCACTAAGGATCTCTGCAATGTAAACCAAGGATGCTCCTGGATTCCAGCTACAAACCAAACCAAGTTGTTGATTTGCATGACATGCTAGAATTGTTCTTTGGGCACTCGCATGAAGTGCGAAGAGTAAGCCCAAGAACGCTGATAAAAGAAATACAGAAAGAAAGAAAAAAATAAAAAGATAAAAATAAAAATAAAAATAAAAAGTTGTTGCGATGCTACCATGTATGTACATGTGTAAAGCTAAAGCAACAAACAAAAATGGACTGTGTTCAGCGTCAAACACAGTCGACTCTTCCCCACTGGGACATGATTGCTTCAGAGCAAAAATGTCGAGTGATAAGGGGTCAGGGACATGATCAAAGACCTACACCCTCGTTTACATGTCAATTGAAATTCTACAACCCTAAAATTGCTGAACCCTGCAATTCTACAAGCTTGCGACTTATTATTACACTGTTATTTATGTGGTTAAAAAGTCCCAGATTTTTGCTCGAATTGATGGTTTCTCTCCCTCGTCATCTGGCTCGTCTTCTGGATCGTCTTCTCTCGTATCCTCATTCTCATCGTCATCCTCAACTTCTCCCACATCCTCCTCGACCTCTGCCTCACTCTTCTCCTCGACCACTGCTTCACTTTCTGCCTCACTTTCCTCCTCGACCTCTGCCTCACTTGCCTCTTCACCCTCTGCCTCGCTTTCCTCCTCGGAAAGAAGCTCCCCATTTTCTGGAACCGCAACACCATTGTCACCGTTCTCCGCAGCTTCCCCATCCTCATCAACCTCGTCATTACCTTCCATGGCATCGACGTCTTCTACTTCATCATCACAGGAATCGTCTAGTGTAACCCCCACATCAACCTCCCCAGCCTGCATAGGTGAATCCCCTGCGGTTTCCTCCCCTGATTCAGGCAACTCCACTGACCTGGACAGGTGAACTGCTTCTGCAGTAGGGACAACTTCTTCTGCTTCTATCTCTGCCATATCTAGTTCTTCTACATTTAGATCAAAAACTGCTAGTTCTTTAACGGTTTCAGTAACTATTGTAGTGGTCTCTGTCACTACTTGAGTTTCAGTGACGTGATCAACTCTAACAGTGGTTGTCTCCCCTGAGTGAGGAGACTCTGCTACTGCATCACCTTCTTCTTGTGCTTCCAATGTCTCTCCCACTGCCGGTGCTTCGTGCATGGCCTCAGTTTCCTGTCACAGAAAATTGATATAAGCATCAGTGCAGAAATTCTGATTACGTAATCCAAACAGGAGATTTACAAACGAAATAAAATAAAAACTCCAATCATAAATATTTGTCAAAGCCCGTTGAAATCACTTCATGACGAAAAAAAATCACCGTAAATGGTCTAATCCACTCACTTGAACGGGCTGTGATATAACTTCAGGTAAGTCATCGACAGCTGCAGCTGTTGGCTGACTGGTTGCAGAAGCTGCCTTCTTGCTTGTACGGTCATGATGCCGGGGGGAAACATTCTCAGAGGCAGCCGTCATGTTTACACTGCAGCATAGAACGAACAGTTGAGTGGACATCCAAAACCAAAGCCCGAAACTAATGTGCTTCATGGGAAAGGAACCAGCTCATCTAGAATGACAATAATCACAAGTCTTCAAGGGTAGATAAAACTTCGTGAAAGAGAAGACCTAAGTGATGGAAAAGGTTCAACAAAAAAACTGAAAGCCACACTTACATGGTAGATGGCCTGAAATTATAGCGCTTAGTGGCGGGAGTTGATACACGAGAGTGTGGGGTGTGAAGAGAGTCCTCATTAGTCTCGATCTCGACCATGATATCTTTGATCCTCTTCTTCCGCTGCGTGCCACCATGAGCATCCGCCTCCAGCGGATTAGCATCATCATCGTCCACGTTTCCTCTGGCTCTCTTTTTTTGCCGAGTCTCAGCACTTTCAGCAGGGGTAGTAGTGAATGCATCAGCATTCGATCGATTTCGGTTACTCTCAGAGGTCTCTTCCACTCCTATCCCTAAAATAGCATTAGCCTCTTCAACAACTCTTTGGATAGACCGCGTTCTTCTGAACCTAGGGCCATCGTCTATATTGCCCTCGACCTGGCCCAGCTGGGACTGGTTGAAACTTGAGCTCGGAGCATTTGGGTCCTGCTTTACCTGCTCTTCTTCCGCTTCTTCTTCAACCGGTTCTTGGCCTGTCAGAAGCTTGGTGGGGGAAGAGAACAACAGAGAAGCCCTGCTTGCACACCGCTGAAGCCATGCCAGTCTGCTTGGAGTCCTAGCAATCATCCTTCGAGAAGATATATGCGAGCTTGAGGGTTTGTGCGTCCCAGGTGCAGGGCGACCTCCAACTGCCCGTTGAGTGTCAGTGCGGACTAGAAGACCCTGGGGATGGGGAGATACAACCTCTTCCTCCATGCGCATGGGTTGTTCTGGCACGCGCATACTCATGGATCCCTCAGAACCCTTCATCTGCTCCCGCAGCTTTTGAAGCCGCTCAGCCTCACGCATCGTGTTTTGGCGCTCAAGATGCAGACTCTCGCGTTGTTCACGTAGCTTCTCACCCTGCAACTGCAACTGTTCGATATCCTTCTTAATTTCACTCCATTCCTTCTCAGCGTCTACTCGTTGTTTCAAAAGTTCCTGGCGCTCTTTCTCAAGCTTGGCGCGTTCTGCCCGCAACTGCTCTAATTCTCCAATGACAGAGCCACGGTTCTTTCTTAGGTCTTCCTTCTCCTGCTCTACTTCAGCTCTCAATTGGGCCTCCCGCTCCTCGAATTGTTTCTCGAAAGCATCGCGTTCAAGTTCGAGACGGCGGTCGAGGTCCTCTCGTTGAAGTTCAAGGTTGCGATTTAGTGCTTGGCGCTCAACATCGAGCTGTGTGTAGAGCTGGTTCCGCTCAGTCTCCAAGCGTGACTCCCATGACTCCCGTTCCTTCTGCAGCTCCTCGGTCATTCTTCGAGATTGTTCCTGGACTTGTCGTCTTGTTTCTTTCAGCCGCTCTTCTTCGTCCTGCATCCATTCGGCCATCCTCTTGGATTCTTCTTCAAACCTCTCTCGCTCCTTTCTCGTAGCCTCTCGCTTCTCATCTAGGAGCTCCCACTCACGCTCAAACCGATCTTTCTGTAGTTTCAGCTCCAGGGCCTCTTCGTCCACAAACTGTTTCCTTGCTCTGATCTCGTCGATCTCTTGCTTCAACTGAACCTGAATCCTAACCAGCTCTCCCCTCTCCTGCTCTAGAGCCTTCAACTTCTCTTGCTCGTCTTCAATCTTACGCCTCTCAAGATCAATTGCAGCATGTGCGCGTTCACTTTCCTCTGCCAGCTGCTGTCGCTCGACCTCGAGCTCCCGCCTGATCCGGCTGCGCTCTTCATCAACCTGCTCTCTTTCAGCTTGAATCGCCCTGCGCGATTCCTCCCGGAGCTCTGCAACTCGTTCCTGGTCGGTTTCAATCTCCTTGCGCAGGGCATCACGTTCAAACTCAACTTCTGCCTTCAGCTTTTCACGTAGTGCTTCCAGCTCATTGTGGAGGTTCACACGCATGCGCTCTAGTTCTGCGCTTTGCTTTTCCCGTTCTGCTTTCAACTCTTCGCGGAGACGCTCCTTCTCAAACTCCAGCTGTTCCTTCTTGTATTCTACATCCTTTTGAACAATCAGCCTCTGTTGCTCCCATTCCTCACGCTCCTCTTCCCAGTCTTTCCGAACCTTCTCCCTCTCTTCCTCAATCTCCTGCCGCTCAAGCTCACATTCTCGCCGGAGATGCTCTCGCTCCTCTTCAATCAGTTGCTTTTGGAGTTCCAGCTTCAGTTTGTTTTCTTCCATCTCCTCCTTGGATTTGCGAATCTCCTCCTTCAGCTCAGCAATGCGTTCATGTTCGTTCTCGTACTTCTTTTCCTCAACACGAATGCCCTGTTCCAAGTTGCTCACCTCTTCTAAACGTCGATTCAATACATCCTCGCGGTCCACGATTTCCTGGACTCGCAGCTTCAGTTCTTCCTCCCTTGCTGTAATTGCTGTCTCCAGGTGTCGCGACCTTGCCTCCCGGGCTTCAGCAGCCAATTTCAACGTCTCAACCTCCTCTTTCTCGGCTGCAAGAGTTTTGCGGACTGAGCGCAGCTCTTCCTCTGCTGCAAGCAATTCTGCTTTCTTTGAATCCACATCTGAAGTGTGAATCTTGAGAAGCGCTTCCATTTCCGACTGAACAAAACCAAAACATAGCATAAGTCATTCTTCTGAAAAAAATGATTTGCATTGTCACCAGACAAAGTGACACCCCGCCAATAGCATTCTACACCCAAGGTCACATCTTCTAACCAATAACTTCACAGCTTCTCGCTAAGATGATAAGAGTTGAGAAAATATAACACGTCCTGAATGACTAGAAGTTAAAAAGCTTACAAGCTCCATTTTCTGCTCCTCTAAAGTCGTCTCTTGGAATTTCAAAGCAGATTCGTAATCATCCAACCGTGCCCTCTCTTGCTCAACATACTCCTTTGTCTCCTTCACTTGAAGCTCGCGGTTCTCAAACTCCTGAACAGAAATAAGTGTAAAATCACCAACATTGTTTAAAAAGGTACTTGACCCTTTAAATATTCACGTCAAACAACCCAATAACAGCATTCATTTATCCTCCAATACTTACAATCTTCACAGCAGAATTACGAAGAGAATAATGACACTGATTAAGAGAGTAGTAGGGCAAAAACAAATGTCGCGTGTATAAGCATACCCGAGTTTGTTCTGCAATCCTCTCCTCGGCGAGAAGCAAGTCCTGCTCCTTAGTCAATATCTTCAATTCTCGCTCGCTTAGAGTCTGCACTTGCCAGCCCTAACGTCAACAAGAACTTCCCAATACAGATGATGAAGATATTGAAATCATCTGACACCTCAAATTACAGAAATCTTGATAGACTTCACAAAAGGAAGGAATACTGAACAAGGGCAATGTTCAAAAACAACGTTGGACAGACCAAAGCTACAACTCAAGAACAAACACTAATAACAAAAAAGTAGTAGTAATGAGATAGTCGTGGAAAGCATACCCTTTCTCTCTCAGAAAGAGAGATAACACGAGCATTAAGGTCAGCGTCTGTTTGCTTGATAAGAGCACGTTCGTTTTCAATGTACGAACGTGTCTCTGCCAGCTCTCGGCTGGTTTGCTTCAACGCCTCGTCTCGCTGCTTCAAAGAATTTTCGCGCTCATTGAGAAGCCGTTCACCTTCCTGCAATCTCGCCCGCCCCTCCTCGAGTCGTTTTTCCCACTCCTTCAAGCTAGCTTCTTCCGACGCCACTTGCTCCTTCCGGGCGTCCACACTGACTTGACCAAAATGAAAATACAGCGCTGTCAACAATTCACGTACATATACAGTACCAGATAATACAGGTTCAACTAGACAACAATACCCCGGCAAGTAGCAACATGAGGAGGATAATTGGGATGAGAGGATGAAAGAAAGCGACGTACTCTGCCATTAGACTGTGGCGCTCACGACGCAGAGCAACCTCTCGGGCTTCCACTTCCTGAAGCCGAAGCTCAGACTCCTGAAGCTTACGATTTGCATCAGCACGCAAAACCTGCACTTGTGCTAATTTCAGGTCAGCCTGGACAGACCTCTCCTCGATACTAGCCACCAACTCTCGAGCTTGAGCGAGCTGTTTATCTGCTGCTTGCCGGACTTCAGACTCATCAGTCTGGAATTCTTTCAGCGCCTTCTCCAACTGTATTCAGCGAAAAAAGCAACTTTTAATGCCATTACATATTGGATCACAGCAAGCACGAAGTTCCCTGTTCGAGGCAATTTGATTATTCATTTTATAAGTTAATAAAACAGAAAAAGGAAAAATACTTTTTTCAAAAATCTTACGAAGTGGAGGAGGGGAAGAAGAAGAGAGAGAGCCTAAGAAAGGTATCGTCGAAAAAGCCAAACAAAGCCAATTAAAAGACTAGAATATGTTTGCAGGTGATGTTCCACTTCAAGTACAGCAGGTGCTTACATCAGCAACACACTGTTTCTCAGTTTCCAGGGCCTTCTTTGCGGCTTCCTCACGTCTCATGACTTCAGATAATTCCAACAAATGCGCAGCTTTCTCGCGCTGGAGTGTTTCTTGTGCATCTGCTACTGCAGCCTTGAGGTCATCGGCTTGAGAGGTCCATGTCTTACGCTGAAGCAGTAACAAACCCATGTTGTACTGGTAATCGTACAGCTGCAGAGAGAATGATAAACATGTAACTAGAGAGGAAATTACAAGCAAAAGGGACGAATTTAAATCTAGCAAGCAGAATCCAAAAGCCAGCTCTCTAAATTGCTAAGCAACTTTTGAGACCCTTTGACCGAAACTCTATCCAACTACAGCTATGTGTCACTGCAGCACACTTCAAAAATGCCAAGGAGTGGTAAAGACTGACCAAAGCAGGACAAGGAGAAGTCCTTGGTTTGGAACAAGACTATTAACTGTACAGGACATCACTAATATATTACGGACTTCTAATTTATTTCCAAACGGCCAAACAACGATCTCTCTCCTCATATTTTATTCCATAAAATTGGGTCTTTTCAGGCATTTGACGACTTTAATACTTGGCCAATTAGCTATAAAGTTATCAAAACTTCGATGTGTAAATTCTGAAAACTAGATCCTGGTATTTTCACTGAAGATTGTGAAAGGAAGAGAAACTAAGGGTAGCGCGTAAAATAAATCTACCGGGAATGTTCGCAATCGACAAGACTACAGAGAATGCATCTGCTATTGTGTACAATTAACAAACTTGTTAAGCATGAGCTCAGGAGAATAACGAGAAAAGTCTGGAACTAGAGATCAACGTTCTCCTAAGCTAACGAGACAGTCTACCCTCAAACCCACTGGACGGAACAACGAAATACTGCACTAAAAATCACTAGCCTTTGCCCTCAGTGCACTACACCACAGATTTTCCTTTATTATTGCACTGAACAAGCGAGATAAATAAAGAATAAATAAATAAATAAATAAATAAAAAACGCTCATACTTGACTACAAACTAAGGGAAACTCTTTGCATTTGTAAAAGAGAGAATGTTGTAACAAGTACTTGGACAGCAACAGTTACTTCACCGTGCCTTAAACGAGCTCAAATCCCCCCAGAACTGCACTGACAAGTTTTACCTCGGCTTCCAAGGCAGCAATACGAGCGTGTAACGCAGCGCGGTCCTTCCGTTCCAGAGAAGGCATGTCCAAAGCGCCTTCATTCTGGAACCTTTTCCACACTTCAGTCTCTGGCACAGCATCAGCCACTCCGATCATGTCCGGTGAGCCCATCAAAGGATCCATAAGAGCCATCGCTTCCTCACCCATGGCAGCTAAGGTTGTCGTAGTGGTAGTCAAGGCACCTATAGTGGAGTTAGTTATTGGCGGAGTTTTCCCTTTCTCTCGTGCCAATGAACGCGTAGGTGTCACTCTTTGCTGCGGAGACCCCCGTCTCCCCTGCGGTGTGTACATTGGTGACAACCCCGACATTTGTACCTCCTCTCAGACCGATGTACTTTTACCAACTCTTCTGCCTCCACCTTTCGCCACCTTAGATAACGGGGAGACCGCTCCTTGAGATACTGGCAGAACCACCGGGTGGGTTGAACATTGGATACTGATACTGCGATTTTAATAACTCCCACGAGACGCTACCAAAAAAATTCCAACTATCTTGTGTGCAGTGGTCCAGTTCCTAATATCTAATGGACAGTTAAAATGTACACCTGCAGCAGCCAAAAAACCAAAAACGAGTTAAAAACACGCAACGAAGCCAGTTAACAAAATAATACTAGTCCCAGCACTCAGAGTCGCGCTTCTGTACGCCGACAAAGGCACGTACTCGGACGGGGAGTGCAGAGCCATTGTTGAGCATGGCAAAAACTCCTGGGGCACATCTATACTCTCAAGACTCAAAACTCCAATTCTACAGTAGAACTGCAAAACTAGAGGAAATTTCAGAAGAAGGTTGCTTGTGCCATCAGCCTCTCTAAAAACCAGGAATAGGCCTCTTGAGAGATATTCAACAAGACGATACCCAGTCAAGCCTGCGCTAGCCAACTCTTGAAGCATGCCGCTACTGAAGCCTGATGAAAGTATCATGAGCTCCAAAAAAAAATGCTGTTCACCGTTGGTAATCACTTAACCCAAACAAACCCGCGTCACGAGACAAGATGCAAGAACTCGCCATAACCACAATCTCGGCTTCAACCAAGAAGCACAACCCAAAATGCCAACGAGGCGTTCTGACTCCGCTCTGAACGCCTACTCAACAGACCTAAGAGTCTCGAACGCGAGAACTCCGAAACCCAGAACCCTAAAGCTCGGTTATTTTCCCACCTCTACTAACTTTCAACACGTACTCCACATCAACGACACGATACACCACACCCATAACACCCCGCTCATCACCGCAACACAACCAACGTCACCAAACACAGGTCCCAAAAATTGTCTTTTCGGTGATTTATTTGACACCCAGGGACGAAAACTGCGGGGAGGCGGGGAGAAGCAAATATTTAGCGATGAAATCCGCACCCAAAAATCAGAGCAACCAACCTTGTAGAGGGATCTTCCCTGACGAAGGCCACAACGGGCCCCAAAAACTCAAACCTCCACGAAAACTCACACAACGACTGTGACCTCGAAAGCGTCAAGGTGAGGATCCGTGCAAAGAGGTGCGGGAGAGAGGTTGTGGATCTTGTAGGGAGCGAGAGAAGGAAGAGAGAGCAGCCAGATCGCTTGGCTGCAGAATCGAGAGCGAAGCACGGGCGACGCAGGTGACGAGTTGCCGGCGTCCTGCTCGCGAGCGATGCCAGGCACTCGCGTGCAACTCGCGGGCCGGGCCGGGCGACGAGTGGGCTGACAGAGGGGCAGACCCGGCCCAGGGAGATCTCGGGACTCTATACAGCTTTGCTTCAGTGTAGTAGTGGGTTCCGGACTTAGAAAAGCTGAGTGAGAAGCGGTGCCAGTATGAAACTCAGGGTCACTTCATTCACCTTGTTAAAGGCTCTTTGTCACCCTGCTTTCTACGTCAACATCAGTGGACCATTGAAACATCCGACTTCATAACTTCATTGCATCATAGTACCTTATTCAATGCTTCCTTAAATTCCTTCAACCGACCATATATTTGGCTAATGCTTCCTCCAAGCAAGCAAGCAAGCCAACAAACGAACAAACCATGGTTCAATAATCTAGTAGTCTTTGCACACGTGTACTTCTTTATCGTGGATACCAAAATATAAGTATCGTCTTTCACCAATTTTGAAATCAGTAATATTTTAGATTCCAAAAATGCTTAGAATGTTTCAATAAAAATAACAATTATGACAAACTTTTTATTGGACAACCTGCCAAAATGTGTAGATATATATTTTATTTATTTACTTATTTAAAACAGTGTACAATGAGACAAAGAAAACCATTGGTTCAGTTTTGTAAATTGGATGATAAATCACTGGTTTAGTATTCAATACTAATTTGGTTCTCCAGAAACATTCAAATACTTGAAACAATATTAATGTGTCTACTTCATGTGAAAGTTAGGAAAATAATGTTATTAGACTATATCTTTGACTAAATCTAGGCTAACAAATGCCTAAACTCAACCGAACTTCTTGGGCACAAAACTTATAAATTTTGAACTGAAATGGAAATGTATAAATTTCTTAAATGAATGATAAATATACAATTGCAATTGTAGAAATGTATTATGTGTGTGCCAAAACATAAAATGTATTATACATCACAGTCAAACAAACTACCATGATACTTTTAAAATTTAAGTTAGAATAACAATGTGCACTCTAGAGAATTATGTCAAAATAGCCATTGAAACTACATTCAAGGGAATTGGATACCTATTTTGAAATTGATAAGTTAGCCTTAGATACCAATTGTAGACCTCTTTCTGTATGATTTGGTCTGATTTAGAGATACTCAAGGTGATTGGGATGCCAAAAATAAATAAATAAACGAACAAAAAATAAAAAGGAAGCAATTGTCTTGAGTGAGATACAGGAATGAAGAAATCAAATAAAAAAAATAAAAATAGAAATACATGTTTTGATGGAAAAAGTTCAGAATTGGCAGCTCAAAAAACATTCTCGAAACTGTTAGAGCATTCTAACTAAATTACAACTATTGTTACAATGTGAAGCAACATTCCAAATTCATCCATTTCCTCCTTTATCACCTAATCTGGACGAAAAAAAAAAAAAAAAAAAAAAAAAAACTTTTGCGGTTCATATTGCACTGCAGCGCTGGCATTGGTGCATCATTGACACTCCCTTCCAGAAACAGAGTGACTCAACAAATAAAAAAGCCACACTATAAACTTCATTGCATGGTTACCGAATTTGGATGGAGAGCTGAGCACCCAAATGATTGGAGACTGCGCAAGCAAGCAAGCAAGCACGAAATGTTTGATGTGCGCTTGGTTTTGAGAGGAAAAGGAATTGCATTGGGATTCTTGAATTTAATCCCAACAAGCTGCACAAACGTCGGAGGAGCAGCCGCTATTCGAGGGAGATTGGCAACGCAGGCCCGGGTCCAATGCTCGAGCGAAGGCACAGCTATGACCTCCACGCTCGCGCAACACAACCCAGTCAAACTGGCTCTGCCCTAAACCCAGCACAGAAGTGCCCTTCTTCGGAACTCTTCCCCTGCCCAATATAGGAAATTTTCCTCCCGGGAAAGCCTGCCCCCTGCCCGGGTGGCAGGGTCAACAACCCGCCCGGCCCGGGCCGGCCGCTAGCTACTCTCCGTTCTGGCGACGATTGCGTCTACCGCGCCAGTCAGAAACCGATCACTTATCGGGCCCACCATTCCTCGTTCTGGATCTTTCGTCCCATGGACGCAATCTGACTATTGTTGTTAATGGAAACGACGAACGATATTATCATTTGAACGAAGTTTGTCGATACGTATATTCTTCTTCGGGGGAATATTTTCCGGGCTTGGGACGGAAAAAAAACGCGGAGATAGATACCCCATGACTGAGTTTGTTTCTGATCATTTCTGTTAGAGATAACTGGTTGGGCCCGAGATCCAAAGCTGGGTGCCATAGTTCCAGCCACACTGCCCGTGGTCCCGACTTAGGGCACACGCCACGTCGGATTGTCAGATGGGCTTACTTTTGGGCGAGATGATTGGTCGGAGCTATTTTGTGGTTCATCCAACTCTCTTAACGCCAAAAAGGAGCTGCGATGTGTATGTCCGGCTAAACAAAGTTTGTGTTTTAGGCGGGTATCAAAAGCTATCAATGTATGCATTTGGTGTGGCCTTTTGAATTGGATTAGTAGCACGTTGTTTAACTCGAAGTTTAAACATTAAAATTGTGCCCATAATGTTGAATAAGGTTTTTTTTTTGTGTAGGTACCGCATGGTGGAAAATAAAAGTATTTTTCAAATTATCTTGAATGGAAGAGTCTATTTTCCATTTCATATCTCTAAATATTTGATCCACGACGATCTGGTATGGTTCTATTTTATACTATTTAATGTAGATAAATAAATGAAAGTGTTGAAGAGAATCCAGTATGTACAATGTTGACTTGAGATCACAGAATTGCATGGAATATAACATCCTTTTTAATTTCTATTTTTTAAATTATTTTTATCGAGAGTTCCCAACACATCAGAAACCGGGAACTCACTCACCGCCCGAGCGTTCCCACTTTCCGAACAGAATATCCCTCGTTTACACCTCCACAATAGCGGGTTTCCTTGCCACCCTGCCCCGTTCCCGCCCCGTGATTCCTCGTCGTGCCGGATGGACGCAGTTGTCGTGGGGCACGTCTCACTCTTCTCGGTGGAACAGCTGGATGTGACTCATCCAAAACCCGGGCAACCCTCCCCAACCCTATCCGGAAGCAGAGCGGGTATATACAGTATGGCGGGTGACGGGTCCCAGCTTTTTCCAGCGCGGACCCGGTCAATGAGGGAACGTAGAGTTCGCTCACATTCCCCCTGCTGATTTCGCCATGGACCTAACCCCGAAGCCCCAAGTTCCGAAGCCTTCATGCCTTTCCTGTCCTTTTACAGTTAAGTCAGTTGAGTTTGGCTGTGTGGCTATGGTTTCCTCATGCAGCTTCTGACAATGTGTGGCTGGCTGCGCTGGCGAGTTTCATATTTAAGACCCAGTTTCAGTTAAGACCAGTACTTTGTGTTTGTTTTAACCAGTAAGTTTATCTAAACAAAACCGTAGATGCTGTTTCTTTCTATTCACCTCTTTTTTTTTCTTTTTTTTTTTTTTTGTCTTGGAGCATAGTTTCAAAAATAAAATCCACGGCGGACGGAGACTTCCTCCATGTACAGAACTCATCCCATGTGCGAAATCAACGACATCTGAGATGAAATGGATTTTGCAGACTTTGTCTAGCCCGAGGAAATTTTCTTCAAAACAAGCGCTAACCCTATTTTCAAATTTAGTTCTCTTGACTTGGAATCGGGTCAAAGATATTGTTATTAATAATCTCAAGACTGGAATCCAAGTTTTTGGGTCAATCTTCGTTTGAAGGGAGATTGAGGAGACTCGTGGTTTATCATTTGAGAAAACTGTGGTGATATTGCCAGCAGTCAAGTTGTGTCGAGAGGAGAAGCTCTCCTTTGCTGTGGTCCGAATTGCAAGGCACAGGAATGCTTGTACATGCTTGGGTTTCGAGGCTGTTTATCACATATGGGCGGAGGCGTAGAGAGAAGTTAACCATTCCAGCTCAGAGGTGGTGTTTTTTTAGTCGTTGATGTCAAGATGCAAACCCATGGACCCACAGTTTTGAACAGAATCGTGAACCACAAAGACAGCCTGGCTTCTGAAAGCTGAAACGAGTTCCCGCCACGAACGAACTACGGATGGCGATCTCTTGGTGGTGTCATGCACCGAGCGAGGAGCCAATAGGGTCCGGATTCTAGCTGTCAAAAAACTTGGCTCGGCTCCGCATCATGCCCAAATTTATAGCGAAGCTGAAGATTATTCGCTGGCATCTTGTTCAGTCTGGTCCTCTTGTTGCTGATGGTGCATATTTAGTGTTCTGAGTGAGATCCCTCACAGTGGTTGGTGGTCCCAAATTCTCTGTTCACTATGGTTCATCTGGGGAATGCCCAGGAATTGAAAGGGTCGACTCTTTTCGACTGGAGCAATCGATTTGAAGATTAGGGTGTAAGGTTGATGTGTCTCTTGAAGAGACTGTTGTGTGTGATTGCGAGCAGAGGGAAATGGCCGAGGTGGCGTTGATTTGTAATTTCTTTCTGCAGATGTGACGAGTAGTTGGAAGAGTTGTACCTCGATCGATGCGACCTGGAAGCAGCAATGAGTCAATCGGAGCAACGAGGGAAATATGCACCTCCTAGGCAGTGGACCTAAACCACACTGTAGAATTTATTACAACACTATAGCTTTCACAATTTTCTGGGATGTAGTTGATAAATAAGCTGCAGTATGATCTAATTACTATTTACCCAAATGGACAGCCATGGAGAATCGATCTTATTCTTCAAGTCTAATCTCTTAACTTCGATCACATAATAGTGTCAAAAATAATGGCAGCTCTAAATAACACCTTCGGTCGTTCTCATAGTCTCGTCGAGCTGATGACGATTCCGTGCATGCAATAACTGTTTGAGCAGCTTGGTTACAAGTCTCTAAGACATCTTTTGCCAGACCAGTCTTCCTCTGACGGAGGTTTGCTTGGTTCATACAATTTGTAAGTTGACAAACACAGAACAAACCTCCATTTCCTCAGGTCAGTTGATACTACACATCACAAACCACAACACTAAAAAAATACGAGCATGCTGACATAACAGGGTTCGGATTCCTTGCGTGGTAGCAGCGAGCGTACTAAGGTGGTGATGCTTGGGGGTAAAGATTTATACATGAATCACACTTCTAAGAAGTCGGACCACCCCGTAACCACATGAAAGCTCCAAACCTACAGATGGCCATGCCCAAGACGTGCACCGAGAGTGATTCATTCATCTGAACACCACAACAGTAGGTCATCAGTCAGAATTCAAACCTGGGCCGTCTGTGCTTCTTCACTGGAGGATGACGTAGTGGGGTTCCTCACTGGTCAAATTTGAGAACCTGTTCCTGCCTATGCTAAATCGACATTCGAGCCGTGGACAGGGAAATCATCGATTTTGTTTACACTATATTATAAGTGAAACATCACGCTCTTTGCAAGATGGAATAGTAAATCCTTTCCACTTTTCTTTAAAAGGTTTATATGCTTCTGTTTTTTGGTCTCTAGTCATTGCTACTGGAAGCACTTACAATCGACAATTTCATGATCCAAGCGATTCGAGATAAAATAGATGTCGTTCGAATTGTGAAGCTGTGAAATCATGAAATTCTTTAGTGCAACCCAGCAGGTATTAGTTGTGGAACAATTTGTGTTCTTCCTGTCTCATATAAATCAACTGCTGCACCATTGAATGACGTCTAAAATCTAAATTGGCTCGATGTTAAGGATGTCAAGGGATTTCTTTCCATGTTGGGAAATCGGTGGAAGAACGGTGAAAATGGAATGAACTGTGACCTTAAAAGGACGTCACTGAAATTTTGAGTAATGACTGCTGTGGCTACAATTCCAGCCAATTTCAGCACTGATAACCCACTGTTTGTTGTAGGAAATGTTGCACCGCATGGCTCAGGAAATATCTTGAAAGGGGCTCATAGTTGAAATTTTGCCCCAGTTGTCATTGATCTTACAACAAAAATGTGCCATATGGACAGAAGTCGTGAGGTAAATGTCAAGATGAAATCCACTTTAAATGCTTCAACGGGAGGATCTCGACTGCTAGCTTTTCGTCGCAGCAGAGAGATATGTTACAAATCCTTAGCCATTTTCAAAACTTTGAACCTACTTTAATCCCCCCGTGCAGAGAATGCAGCTAAACAGCTATGGACAGGAATAGTCGAAAGAACGACGTCTAATTGCCACTGACGTATGGATCCTCTAATATCATCAAGTGTATGATGGCATATCCGAAGTAAAGTGGTGACTGAGCATAATGCCATAGCATGTGCAAACTAAAGGTCGTTGAATAAAGGCTGCACTGAACCTACTTCGAAATTTAGACACATAAATCTCATCGCGGTAATATAGTCTTCGTGGATTCAACCGCTAACGCGCAAAGTGCAAACCAGTTCTAAATTACATAATGTGGTCCCAAATTCAGCATTACTCATAAACAAATTACCGTGAAAACAACACTACAAATCCACTGCATAATTCTTGAAATTCTGAGTTCACATGCATTGCTTTCACCTTCTGTTGGAAGGAGTAGAACTTAATGTGCGTCCCAAAAACAGAGAGCATGGTTCATGCTAAGAAACAGTTGTGAATATAGTCAAATCACTTGCCAATGCTCAGATTCAAAGAACATCATGCGAATACATGTAGCAGTCGAATTATCACATGCGACATCTATTTTCGACATGTTCTAGTGAAGTGGAGCTCGACAAATTTGATGATAAAATGAAAAGATAAGCTAAAAGCCTAGCTAATTTCTTCCCCATAAACAACTAATAGAGTCTAAAAAATATATTCTGTGTATATTCTTTCAATCCGACTCAAAGTAGCCCTATTCTTCCACCTCCACTCCCAACCAAAAGAAACAAATAATCGTTCAAAAACAGAAGCACGAATGAAAAATATGATAACAAGAGGCAGGGAAAGATGGAACTAAAATTTCTCATAACAACAAGCTTACGCTTCGTCTTCCAATTTCTTGACATAAGCCTTAAGTGTAAACACAAGATCCCTAGCAGGTGCTTGCAATGTGCTCACAAGTCCGGCTGCAGGAGCTTGAATGGTGCCAAGCAACTTCGAATACAGCTCAGCCCTTGTGGGCATAGATTCTAAAGCCTTAAATTCTTCAGGACTGTAAAACTTGCCTTCGAAGACTGCACCTGTGTAGTCGTTTTCCAGTTTCAGTTCCTTCTGCAAGTCGCGGTAGGGCTTGAGCGCTCCGGGAATTTCCTCCGTGTGCACGAATAGCCAGGCGTTCATACCCTTAAGAGCAGGTTTCAAAGCTTCCCATTCGGTACCCTCAATTGCCTTGCCTGTACACCCATCATTCCATCAAATCATTCTTCTCTTAAACTTTGTTCCCGTACATGCTAAACATGAGATTACAAAATGCGACATCCTAACTCAAATGTGCGGATAAGAAAATCTCACCAATCAGCTTATTCTTGGCAACCATGAGAGTGGTTTCCTGCGGCAACGACTTCCGCAACTGCTGCATCTGCTTCACCGTCAACCCGGTGAATTTGATTCCGGCAACCAACTGGCATCCCTCGAGCTGTTGCTTCGCCGCCTCCACAGTCTCCTCCTTCTTCTTCCTGCTGATGGCCATCCTCACCACTCCAGCCTTCCCAGGGGGAGCCTGGCTAGATTGCCCGCCGGCCACATTGCTCTTCAATCTCCCTTGTGACCCCCAGAATTCCGAGCTAACACCACAAGAAGCGATGGCCTGCTGTGTAGCCATGGCTGAGACAATTTCTGGTGCACCCACAACACTGGGTTATGAACTCGAGGATGAGAGGTAAGGTGAGGCCTCGTGAAGGAGGAAGGGGTAGGGCACACACAAGGCTTTGAGCCTCCGGTATGGATAACGTTCCAAGGGAAATGATATCCGGATGAATCCGGATGTGAACAAAGGTTATCAAACTCGTCGTCAGACACCCTCCCCCCGCCCTTTACGATATCGCAGCTTCGGAAGATTGGTGAAATTCCGTATAGACTTGTGGTTCATGAACATACTCCCCCACTGTAAAAGTTCCAGTTGCATGCAATAGAATACAAGGAAATGGTCATGTTGAACCGTAGACGTCTCTCGTGAAGTTTTGTGTGTTTTGCTTATTTTTGTTATCTGAAGTACAGATGTGGATTGAATGTATGTCCAGCAAAATATTCCAACGGTGATAGGACTCGCAGGCTAAAAGCCTTGGAGGGTGCAGTGCAGGTAACTGGGCAGGTTCAGTGACTGCCACTCCGCTCCTCCTTTGTTTATGTAGGTCCTGAATTGTTCGTTTGTGGGTTTCATACATGCGATCGTGTAAAAAGAGCACACAAACTACACATAAAGAGCACTGACACTCCTTTGTTGATGCCTTGTAAATCCTCCAAAGAAACTAATAGATTAAAGACTCAAATGGGCATACGACAATAGTTTGAAAACCACTAATTAGGAAAATTATAATTCTCCATCCATAGCACATGCCATGGTTCCAGTCAAAGAATTCGACATACAAATGGCTCCTCTTGGTACTTGCTTATGATCAAGGATGCCTTGAATATCTAGGAATACAGCAATTGCAGGGCCCTCGCCACTCATGCATCTTCCAGTGGAGATATTGAAGGAGAGAGATATAGACACACAAACTCCTAGATTTAGTACTTGGGAAAAAAGTTTTCTCCTGTTTCCTTGCCATAATAACTATTCACCTTCAGCTTTCAGCACGGGATTAATGAGTGGTTTCCACTGTGCCAACCATACAATCGCCCACCTGAAGAAGTTACCAAACCACAGTAAATATAAGATGCTCTTGTTATGGAGCACCACATCTCGGTTCAAACGACCTAATTCTCAAAGAGCCTCAACTGTGAAAATGTTCTGTCATAACTTAAATTTGCAAACTTGAAGTCTTCCAATCTTCGAAATTTTACAAGTAGAATACTGTAGTTCATTGCTACTAAGTGCCTTAACAAGTGAAGATGGCACTACTGACCTAACCACTTAATTAGTACTTATGTCTGAAAGTAAAACGTGAAGGACAAGAATCCTGTGATGAAATAGAACTTTCCGGTCAAGTAAGACCAGTCACCAATACATGTATGTAAATTTGCGAACAATTCCGTAATTGAATCGAACTGAATCGAAAAGAAAGAAGTACAGACTTACATAAGCCAGCAGCATATGACCGCCGTATTCACGAGTACTACGTTGAGCCTATAACACATCAAGTAGTCATCAGTAGCGCTCCACGCACAGCTTAGATTCAAGCGGTTCTTCCCACTTAAGCTCATTCCCGTGAATTTCACGTAATGTCCAATAAACCTAAAATGGAACTCCATCGATACGACTAAAGACACAGAAGGATCCCCATATTAAGTGACTACAGAGGAACACGACACATCAAAATGAGCTTTTGGTCGAATGTCGAACAAAATAAACTAATCGGTTACAGAAATTGGAAGCCCTCTTACAAATGAATCAAAAAAAATTAAGAGGAGCAGGACATGTAATTTATCATACACGATCTACACTCGGATTAAGCATCAAAGCTATCCTCACATGGTTTGGAGCCCAACAATAACTACTCCACCAAGCTCCAATCCTTCAACCTAACTCGCGAAGACAACAATCTCCGAGCCAAACTAGCCAAAAGCCATCCACCCTAACGACATCAAGCTAAATATCTCTCTGCAAGTACAACCCACATGATCAAATTCCATGTGATTCTAGAAAGCCTCAGATCTCCTATTCCTTGAGACAACCAACAGAAACCTCGCAGCAAAAAGAAGCCCAATTAGAAGAAAAGAACTTACAGATTGGTGCTAGAACCCTTGTTGTAACAGACCTTGACGCATAGCGATCCCACCAACGCCGTGAGCAAGAAGTACAAGGAAATGAGGAAGAACCCCATGGTGAAGAGCGGAATTTCGACAGCTCACGACCACAATTGAGTTGTGAATGGAGTGAGCAGAAATCGATAGAAGCTGCAATTGACGAGCTAAGGAAGGGGAATTGTGGGGTAGATCCAGCGGAGAGCTGGATGTTGGAGAGGTGACGACGACGACGAGCAGAGTTGTGTCGAAATTGCGCTCAGCTGGCTTTGGCGAGACCCCTGACACACGGAGACGCGTGTGCCTGCCTGTTACCTAGTTTTGATGAAGTTGATATCCCCGGGGTATCCCTAATCCTCCGCCCACTTATCACTATCCATACCCTCCCTCATTGGCGGGTGTGTTCGTTGCCCCCCCCCCCCCCCCCCCACGTAATCAGAATGCTGTGAGTTTTGTAATTTGTTGTGAGGCTGCTCATTATGTTTATTGAATATTGTTTCTATTCTTGGAAAAAGTGTTTTTAAATTGGAAGGATTTAATTAAAAGACACACACATATATATAAATATATATCTACACTTGTGAAAACTTGTGCCATTGGTCACAAAAAAAACATTGTAAACTATGTGTTGTAAAGTAACCTTTTGTTTGAAACTTCATATGACTTGAAATTCTATGTTCCATGTTGTGAAGCACCACACCTAGTGAACTTGCAGTACTACTCTTGGCAATTTGTAGCAACAGCATATAAATTTTGATCTTTGATTGATCAAAAGTTGAGTTATTGCTTCACTTTTGATCCACTTTTTTTCTTATTGTCCTCTACCATATCATAGATTCTAAAGTTAGCTTAGCATTGGAGCATGGGAGTCATTCTACTCTATTCCCATATTTAACTAAAATATGTTTAAAGCCCTCAATTGTTTGTCAACATTTGTAAATGATGAAAAGAATTGCAAAGATACAAAATTGAAGGATCAATGAAGAATCTATGTCATAATATGTGACAATAAGGTAGGTTGATTTAATATTCTCATATATATATATATATATATATATATATAAAGCACACAAATACAAAGCTTATTTATATATTATTGTTGAAATATTTCAAATCTCAATCAAATATGATTGCATAATCAACTCGGATACATCATCATCTTCACAATTAACAATGTGGAATTCATCAGTAAATTCATAAAGAACAATAAATAATTAATTAGTCAAAAGATTATCTTTAATTGCCATGTAAAGATAAAACACACTTATTAAAAAATTACAACTTTTTTCAATAAATTAGTATCTATTCCTAATGCTTTTAAGACCAAGCTATGACATGTTTTGTAGAATTTAATATTAATATCTACAATTTCATTGCATCATCATATTTGGCACTTGTATAAAATGATATTTAAGGTAGGTTTTAAAATGAGATTTATATCAAGTGTTTGAGCTAATACCAATAGATATAATACAAAATTTTAATATACATAAATGAATATATATATATATATATATATATAATATTGATTTATATAAGAATAATTTATCAAAATTTGTTATAATTTCTAATTTCTAATTAATAAGTAATAATAATAATTTAATACATAATAATATAATTTGTAATATCAAAAGTGAAGATAACTTCAATAATAAAAATATAATACATTGAGAATATATGAACACCTAGTTTAGAAATATTTTAGATATAAGCTGATTTTTATAAATGCTTCTTAATTTTGGTTGTAATTAAGATTTAAAGTGAAGTTAATAATTCATGTTGTATAATTGAAATAATTTAATAAGAATAAAATATTATAATAGTAGATAAATAGTCAAAACAATCTAAAAATATTATTAGAAAAAATAGTAGATGTTTTTGGAGGATTCATTTCCAAAATCTTTAGAAATAAATAAATGTATTCATATATATATATATCTATATATATATATATAAATTACAAAAATGAAATTCATAAATTTATTTTATAGAATATAAAAATTAAAATCATTTTGGAAACTTAAATTTTGTCAAAAAAATAATTGTAAAATAAATAAATAGAATATTTTTATTGAATAGTAATTTAGCTAAAGAGATCGATTCAAATAAAAAATATTATGAAAATGGTACATTATATGCTATAAGTATATAAAAATATAAAATATAAAGACTATGAAAATATAAAAAGATTTTGGTTTCATATGGTTTAGAAATAAATGCAATAGCTATGTCTAGTTAATTTTAAGATAAAAGAATTAAAACTACTCTATGCTATTATAGCCAAGGAAGTTTTGTTGTCAAATTCACCTCTCAGTACTTTGATAGTATTAAAATTATTGAAGTAATTTTATTTTATAAATATACATGTTTATATCAAAATCACTTTAACATGCTACATAATTTCTTCAAAGTAGATTAAGATTGATAAAATTCAACTTGATTTGGTTATATAGATTTTTTTAAATGTTACATAAATTTTTAATGATTTAGTAGTAAATTTAGATGTATTATATATATATATATATGTATATATATATATATATATATTAATTTAAAATATCATTCTTTTATCTATGCTAAAAATTGCACATATTGAAAATAATATTGATGTTTAAAGTATTTTTATTTAGTAAAAGAACTAATTTAATAAATTATTTAAATATATAATTATGATATTTATATGATAAAAATAATAAATATCATAACATAAGATACAAAAAGAACACAAGACAAAAAAGATAAAGAATATCAATTATAGCTTTACATCTTAATATTTAAAATTAATTTATAGTTATGTTATGAATATACAATAAATTACAAAAACAAATTGAAATCTCATTAACATTTGTACAACACTTTGTGAATCTTTAGAACTTAATAGAAACTCCTAGGATTGTCCAAAATTGTCTTGAAGTTTCTAAAAATCTTTTAAAATTTTTTAGATGCTTTTCTGGAATTATCTTTGATCTTATTTATTGATTGAGGTGGTTCCATAAAACATTCTCTACACTTTTGGGATTCTCTGCTGCTCTTAGAATCTCTTTTACAAACTACAGTTTAATGTAGATTCTACAATATGAACAAGAGTCAAGAGATATGTCTCCTTAGTCTTTCAAACACAGTTTTATAATTATCTGAGTGTCATTTTGTTCTAAATATTGTGACAGTTTTTGCTTCTTAATATATATATATATATATATATATATATATATATCTTGTAATATCTTGTATTAATTTTATTTCATGATTTCTTAACTTTTTTTTCCTGAAAAGTTGTTATATTTGTTGAGTATTAAATTTAAATATGACAGGTATAAAAAATAATTAAAATGAATACAATAATCAACTTCAAACTATATATAGTCTTGTAGTTGGAGTACTTCAAATTTAGAGTCTTATAATAATATAAATAATATAAATATCATAAATAGAATGGTTACATTCTATTAATGATAATTAATGGCTTATTTCATGTCCAAGTGATAACATTGTGCATTATAGTTCAAATCTCGTTTTGACTTTGGCATGCAAAGGTCTGAGCTCGTGCCGGTGAGGAACCTTCCGTTACCTTCCCCTAAATAGCTCTCGTCCGTAAGACACATGCCCACGGCAATCTCTGTACATCTAAGTTTGATACCCGATAATACCCAGGAGGGGTCCGGACCTCTCTCGGAGTTCGGCAGGCGTCTACAACAGTGAAACGAGATGCAGAGTCGTTTCTGAGGCCCTGCCCCGTCTCACTGGCGTGCCGCCCCTGCAACAACTGAGCTCTCACTCAACTTGCGCTCGATTGCCCAGCCACCTTCTACCGCCTGATCACCAACCCAGTCCACACTTCCTTTGCGGAAATCACCTTCTGCTCACTCCAAGTCTTTCCAATCAGTAGCTTTAGAAACCAAAACCCTAGCGTGTTCTGTCTGTTCTCTTACAGACTTCCCTCAGCTCCGCCGGTTTTTTTTTTTTTTTTTTTTTTTTTTCGGATTGCTCGCAGCGGATTTCCGAAGCTTTCGTTTGTGGAGCGTTTGCCGAGTTTCTGAGATTCTGTGTTTTGGGCAGTGGTGGGTTTTTGGAATTGTGTGCTGGAGTGATTCGTGGGCCTTATGACAAGCTAGGGTTTGGGTGTTGGAGTGTGTGTGTTGACAGTTGTTGTAAGATAATTGTGGATGTGTAGTGGAGTCTTTGTGAGAAAATTCGTGATCGGTGAAGTGTGAATTTGGAAGTTCACATTGGTTGTTTCTTGTCTGGGCGTGAGGGAGTGGATTGCTTTTCAGCATGCTCGTAGTTGGCAAGGTAGAGAGGATTATTTGACCTAAGGTGTGGAGGGAAGAGGATAGCCATGTACAGCAACTTCAAAGAGCAGGCTATAGAGTATGTGCGACAAGCCGTAGCGGAGGACAACGCAGGAAACTATGCCAAGGCCTTTCCGTTGTACATGAACGCGCTTGAGTACTTCAAGACTCATCTGAAGTATGAGAAGAATCCCAAAATCAAGGAGGCCATCACTCAGAAGTTCACGGAGTATTTGAGAAGGGCAGAGGAGATTAGAGCGGTATTGGATGATGGTCCTACTGGACCCACTGCGAATGGGGATGCGGCCGTTCAAGCTAAACCGAAGTCGAAAGCAGGGAAAAAAGATGGAGGAGGTAGAGGAGATGGTGATGGCGACAGCGAGGATCCTGAGCAGCAGAAGCTGAGATCAGGGCTGAATTCGGCGATTATTCGGGAAAAACCAAATGTTCGGTGGGCCGATGTAGCTGGTCTCGAAAGCGCGAAGCAGGCGTTGCAAGAGGCGGTGATTTTGCCCGTCAAGTTTCCTCAATTTTTCACAGGTTTGGATGCGGAGCCTTTCCAACTGAATATCTGTTGCGACGTTACTTTTATCTTGTTAACGAAAGAGTTTTGAGGAAATAGTGTACTCCACTCTACTGCAACTGATAAGGGCTCTTCTTGTGGTTGACGGATCATTTCGATGTTGGGAATAATTTCACGTTCATTCTGCGCATCCTTTTGTGCCAGAGGAAAAAAAAATGTGGTGGTTAGGATGATTCACCAATTTGGTCTAGGTATTGAGAGGAATGTCAGCATGCCCTGTAGGGGAGATGTGTTCGTAATTAGGTATTGTCTGATTTTCTACTACATTTTCGGGTCATTCGAACGGTTGTGCTTTGATACGCTGGGGGAACGAGAAAGCTGGACTAGTCAATTCAGAGTTTGTATTAGGGAGGAGTGGCCATCAAGACATGTTTTACAATATTACCTTCAATGTGGACATGCAGGGAAGCGGAGACCGTGGCGAGCATTTTTGTTATATGGGCCACCTGGGACTGGAAAGTCGTATCTTGCAAAAGCAGTTGCTACGGAAGCTGATTCTACATTCTTCAGGTAACTGGAGAAGCATATATGCAAACAACAATGATTTTGTTGGATGCATTTTCTTTTTGTTTTGTTGCAATAATCACTATTCCAGACTTGGGTCAAATGAAGAATAATCTGAGAAGAGTGGGTAATAAGGTCTTCCAAGCTTCAGGATGTTGTGAATGGTGGCTGCGTGACTGATTTTTTAAACTTTCTCTGCAGTATTTCCTCTTCTGACTTGGTGTCAAAGTGGATGGGAGAGAGCGAGAAACTTGTTGCAAATCTGTTTCAAATGGCCCATGAAGCTGCTCCATCCATTATTTTCATAGATGAGATTGATTCCTTATGCGGTATTCGAGGTGAAGGAAATGAGAGTGAGGCTTCACGTCGTATCAAGACTGAGTTGCTAGTTCAAATGCAGGTTAGACGCCGTGTTCAGTCTGAATGGTCGTGTTGGAAAACATATATTTTGGCATCTTCCTTGTTGGTCGAGTGGCCATCAGCTCCATGGATGCAGCGTAGTTATTGTGCAGCTTAGGTATGAATTTTATTGATTAACATCATTACCTATGTGTATACGTCAGTGCGATTTAATTGTGACATGTGAAGCGATAGTATGAACTGTAGATGTATAACGTGAGTCCTGGTATTTTTTTCAGGGTGTCGGAAAACAAGACACTAAAGTTCTTGTGTTAGCTGCTACAAATACACCCTACTCTTTGGATCAAGTGAGATTTCTTCTTCCCTATTGTAGTGAAAAAGTGTTTGATCCTCTTATTTGAGTTATGTCTTGGTTTCGTAGAGTCGCCTGTATGATTAGGTTTATGTTAACCTGTAGGTTGGTTATATGCTTCATTAACTGTTCTTCTATGAATTGCAGGCTGTGAGGCGACGTTTTGACAAGCGTATCTACATCCCTCTACCCGAGTTTAAGGCTCGGCAGCACATGTTTAAGGTGCTCATGGTGTTCAATATTGCACTCAACTTTCAAGTGTTCACGACTAAATTTACTAGACCTATTCTAAATGTTGTATGCTTCAAATCAAGTCGTTTAACAATGACATGATCCCCCGTGAGGTCTTCACCTCCGTCTCCTCCTGCTACTGTCTCAGCCTTTGTTTTCTTGTCCTTGTGTAGGTTCATTTGGGAGATACACCAAACAACTTGACTGAACGCGATTATGAGGATCTGGCCAGGAAGACTGATGGATTTTCAGGTTCAGATATTGCGGTTTGTGTAAGTTCATAAAAAACCTCGAACCATGATACTGTTAGCATTGAATCTTGGAATTATGCACGTAGTAGATTAGACAAAATTATTATAACAATTGTTTTTGAAAAGTGTTCCGCATAAGTGACCAATGTTTTCACATTTGCATGTCAGGGTATTGGACATTTTTTTTATCAGTTAAATAGTTCAATGCAGATGAATTTTTGCAGTGTTGATCATTGAAGTGCTTCTCCTGTGCTCAATGTTGAAAGGAATATTATTATCTTTGTGAATAGGTGAAAGATGTGCTTTTCGAGCCTGTCCGCAAGACGCAAGATGCTATGCATTTCAAAAAAGTCCATACAAAAGATGGGGAAATGTGGATGCCTTGTGGTCCCCGAGAAGCAGGAGCTAGGCAAACTACCATGACAGAGCTTGCTGCTGAAGGATTAGCTTCGAAGGTACGAGTTCTCATCGATGCGGTTGTATTTATCCTTATCTCATCTACCCTTTTGCTACTGGGACGGCAGGGGAAGACGCCTTCGTTGGTCAATTCTTTGGTTCCCGTACTTATTTTTACAAGACAAATGATTGAGGAGTTGGAACTCCTACTTGGCTGAAATGAAGCATAGCCACTAACGTATAATGCTGGATGAAATACAGATCCTACCGCCTCCTATAACGAAGTCGGATTTTGACAAAGTCCTCGCAAAGCAAAGGCCCACTGTCAGCAAGGACGATCTAATAATCCAAGAGAAATTTACCAAAGAGTTTGGTGAAGAAGGTTGAAGGATGCCTTTTGCTAAGAATTTGGAGAGTACTGGGTTATTTATTACAGATGAGAAAAATGTTTTGACAATTGACTCCGAAGCTGTTCCGATCTGCTAAGCCTTAGGTCCTCTTTCCAAAGGAAGAGAAATCGAATAGTTCTCGGTTGCGCTGTAACGCAGTCGCAACGATCAAGGAGAAATGTTCACACTGTCATAACGTTAAGTCATTGTTTATACATTGGAAAATATAATGTGGTTTATTCATCTACCGTTTGTATCGACTCTCCACCTCTTCCTCTGTCACTCACTGCTCATGTTTGGAAGTCCTTACTTTTCAGGTGTGTCTGGAAGTCCTTACTTTTACGTTACTTGTCATGATTGTGGAGTGTATCCCATCACTCTTCGACATCCACTGCAGCGACAACCCTGTTACATTACTAAACAGAGGGTTATGTTGTGTTATGTTTATTTATGTATCTGTAAGTTTCTAGATCAGGTAGTTTGAAACAAATGCACTAGCACAAATCAGATAACTAACAAACATCAAAAATCAAAGCATTGGGTAGAAATCAGTACACAATCATTCATAACTTCATTTTATTCCAAAATAATTCATACTTTCCTCTTCTTTCAACTCTAAAACAAGTGTGACAAGTGTGACTCAGTGTTATCTTTCAGTGTGACTCAGTATTAACTTTCAGTATTAACTTGCAGTGTGACTCAGTATCATTGAATGTGAATGAACTAGGGGTTCCAAGCAAACTTCGGTTCTTTGAGTATTCAAGAAATACACACAATAGTATTATATAATATGATAACCCACAGCTTTTTGAAGAAATCTTTAGAGATAGCTAACTGTATAGTTGATTTTTAGATATTATACATATAATGACAATATGTATACATATACATATACGTCTAAATGACAAAAATCCTAGTTATTGTTATGCATGCTAAAATATATATATAAATATCCAAATTTGATTTTTACACCTCATCCAAACTCAAAACACAAGATTTGTCAAAGAAATTATCTACAAATAAAAAGAGAGGAAATATATGTTTGACAATAAGACATCATCTTAAATTTTATTCAATTTTGTCTTTGTATAACAATAATGTCATTCAAATCATCATTTAAAAAATGCCTTTCATACATGTATGCAACAAACGCCATTCTATCCCAACTACAATTATTATTTTTAAGATGAAAATATCTCAATACCAAAAAAAGTTTGGAATAATTTAGCAAAACAAATATACGGAGAAAACATCAGAACTACGATGAATAATTACAATCCAATTGGTTGCTGTATGATATTCTAGTTTATTTAAGTTTTTTCACACCTTTCCATGTATTTTTCAATGAAAATATCACGTTGTGTCCAGGACATTATCAATTTCCAGTAGAAACTTATTTTGAAAAATGTTTCTTCTTTAAGCATCCGATAATCTCTCTCTCTCTCTCTCTCTCTCTCTCTATATATATATATATATATACATGCAACAATATTCTAACATTTCATACTATAATAAAACATCGCAAACTGAAACATTCACATCATCACACAGCACCAAAGACACAACATTGTGGAATAAAACAAAACTGAATGAAATGGTATCTTCCAATTACATCAGTTCCAATGTGCTCTAAACCTCTACTCAAATAACAACTCAATATCATAAAGAAGTCGAAATAAAACGGCGCGATCCACCCAAAAATCTCCTCCTCACACAATTTGTGAAGGAAGAGAGAGAAGAAGCATCGTACAAAGAGAGCCCACGTAGGGGCTTCATGGTGTGCATGGTGCGGCGAGGATGCGATTTCGGAGCCGAGCAGGGACACGCACCGTTCCTTCTTCAAAGATCGAAACCCATGCTCTGCAAGAAGTTGTTGAACTCGTCGTCTATCTGCTTTGAGTCGTCGAATCCGTCTGTCGGAAGCAGGTTGTAGAATCCGTCTGCTGGTGCTAGTGTCGGTGTCGGTAAGAGGACATCAATGCACACCGCCTGCATGGGGTTTTCCAAGTCATCTTCCTGCAACAGTATGTCGAACTCCGATGCCTGCTGCATGGGGTTTTCCAAGTCATCTTCCTGTAACAGCATGTCTAACTCCGATGCCTCCTGCATGGGGTTATCAAATTCGTGTGTTAGTTCTAGATACTTTGATTCATGAGCTAGTACCGGGTTCTCGGATTCGTCTGCCGGCTGTGTGGGGTTCCCAGATGTGTCTACCGGCTGCCTAGGATTACCGAGTTCGTCTGTCTGTGAGAAGTTACCGCATTGTTGTGCCCGAAAGGAGTTCGCGAGTGCTGCTACAACCTCAAGCATCCTGCTAACATCATTTGGTGAGCCATCTTGCGGGCTACCTCCGGATTGAGGGAGCATGTTAATAGCATTTGGTGTGTCACCTTGCTTGCTACCTCCGGATTGTAAGAGCACGTTTAGATGAACTTGGAATTCTTGGAGGCACACCAAACACTGATACCGGGGTTGCGCAAGGTTCTTGTTGTTGTAATACATGAACTTAGCCTTGTTCAACACTTTACACTTGGTGCACTTCTTAACCACACCTTGCAATTCCTTCGGATCGACGCCTCTCGGCTTTAGATATTTCTTTCCTTTGGGGCGGCCGTGGAGGACATGCGAGAAGAAATCGTTGCAGACCCAACATTGGTAACGCGGCTGATTTTGCTTACCATTATTCAGGTACCTAAACTTACACTTATTTACAGATCCGCATTTAGTACACGTCTTGATTTGGTGTACGAACTCTGGCGGTTCAACAGCGACTCTCCTCATCTCGACACACTGTAAACCCCCGTACTGATGCAGGATTTGCAAGTTCAAACGACCAAATTGTTAGCAAACACACAGACCACAAAAGAAAATAACCTTTCAGTGAAATGACAAAAAATATTGTTCGTGCGACAATGCACATCAAAGATTCGCAACGAATGTTCTACACATACGGTTGCAACAAATTTCATGATTTGTGCATAGAAAGGGACTTTAATTTCTAAATATACACATGAATGGTTCGATATATTTAGCAACCTCCAGTTTGGCCAAAAAGTTGGTGAACCAGTAAGCACAGCAATGAAAACAAGCATAGGATGAATGAATAATGGATGACGAGGCAAATCTGGGGTTTATATACAACGGAATCACGTAAATTTTACCAGTGTATAAAAATAATAAACTAACAGAAATTTCGTTCTAATTTTACACAAACATAACTTCTTATGTTCCAAATACATGACGTGATCATCTTTCTTTTTCAATGTTTTTTTACTCACCTAGGAAGAGCTCAGAGACACTCTGGTACACCAATGGCAAATAACTTGCCACGGATCACCAATATCTATCACCAGTATTGAGCGTGCAAGGAAAACATCTATACAGGATTGCCCTTGTACACAATTCAAGCCAAATGCAACTGTTACAATTGGTGTTGTACTATTGTACGTTACTGAAATTCTTCAACACATGCTTTGTACCCTGCAAATTCTTGTCACTGTTGTAGGCTGCAATCCATTTGGTGATGTATGCGACTTCAGTTGCACGTTGCTCAACTAACCAATCTGGGTCGATTTTGGTAGAAGCTCTCAGATCTAAGTGATGGGCACCTGCACGAGTTTCATAGTGTGGATGGTCAATTCTGACACGAACATTTGGTTCAGTCCAACAAGAGTGCAGTTTCTAGAGATGAAGTGAATCTAACTACTGGTGAGGCGTCCTAAAGAAAAGCATTGAAGGAGTACTGATTACCTTCAGGAGCCACCAGAGCAATAATGCTGCTTGAGATGTTTTCCAGAACTCTGCGATCAACCATCCATGTGATGTAAATTCTGATGAATTCCAATGTAAGAAGCGACTTCAATAGACCGTGGTAAGCAGTTACAGAAGGAGGCTGTAAGATTAAGAATACAAACGAAAGAATTGAGCTCACCCTCCCCCACTCCAGGGATCCAACAGTCCGTTAGAGAAGACAATGTTGCTTCCGAAGTCCTTCAATACAGCCTTTATATCCTGCACGAAAAAGTTGAGCGCACATAATCTAAGCGTCTTGCTGAAAGTGTAGGAGCTTCAGTTCAAACTATGAATTGCTCAGTGACACAGGAATACGGGATGAACATTTCAAGGTGCAATATTGGATATACGAAACAAGAGCAAGACCGTGTAGATGAAGACAAACTGGAAGAAAATAAAGACAAATAACATTCACAACACAAGACATGTTGAATACACAGAATGCATTGACTCATACAATGAGCATTGTCACATTACCTTGCCACCATAATTTGTTGTGATCCAATTTGGTCTTGGTCTTACACCGTAAGTCTTCATACAGTACTGAATATTTCCTTCCAAATCCCAGTCGTAGGGCTGGAACATACTGTTACTGGAGTTGCTGCTCATTGGCATGATCATTTCTGTACACGCCTGCTCAAAAGTCCACATTTTCACACTTAACCAGGTTCTCATCGCGAACAAGATTCTCAACATGCACAAAATTTCGGAGAACAGCTCTGCATATCTATCAGCAGAACATAGACATACAAGGAGAACAGATGCGATCCCCACAAAGTGTCATCTCTGACACAAAGTCGTATTATGCTAAAAAACATTGAAACTATTTAATGTACTGACAATAAAGCACAAGCTGTCCCATTAATCTTCTATCTCTCAGTTCTACTTTCGAGGAAAAATTTGCATGAGCCAGAAAAAAGTTCAACAACAACGTACGGTGGTTTAATTCAAGGGGTGCACGTTTCTAAGGAGATTCTCGACTGGCGAAAAACCACTTACTATCACAACTTTCTGTTAGTTTTACTAAATGCAGTTGAACTAACCTGCCAGTCCCACCCAGTCACTCCGAGGTCATCATTCCCAGGATCACTGGGTTGGAAACATTCCGCCTGGCCGCTGTAATTATAGTAAACACTTGCTCCCGCAAAAATTCGAGACAGAATATCTGAGCCCTCTGGTAAACTATCGATCACCCGACAAATCTGCATTACATACAACCGCGCATCAGCACATTTGTTGATAATAACACTTAGTCTCCTTAGAGGTTGGCATTCTTGAGTCATGCAGTCATGCATCACGGACCACTCAAGAGGAGCCAAAGAAAACATCATAGCCACAATATATCGCCGCACACTTGCTCACTGCGATGTATCATGTGTAAATGCATGAGAGAGCAATTAGAATGCCTTCGTGAAGACTTCTGTTAGTTATAAGATTACCTCTCGTACAGGATAAGCTGGAAGAGGCGTGATGAAATTCGTCGGAATTGGATAATCAACCATTGCAACATACGAGTAGGCTGATGACAACCAATTTTCAAGCTCCCACGAAGCGTTTAAGTCTCTGAAAATGATCACAATATCAACATCGTCATCGGTGTGTTCATTACGCGCAAGGTCTCATTGAACTAGCTGAACTAGCATTATCCTCCTGGCATATGCTTCAAACTGCTTATCCTTATTAGAAGTAAACAAGATAGCTCGTTTTTGACTGAATGCATGGTACCAGATAGTAAAATTAACATTTACCGGCACATGTGGAATTGGGTGCTAAGATCGTGTAAGCCACCATTCTTGGAGGCAATCTTGTCGATGACACCCCACGATTCTCGGATGTAATTAAAACAACTAGCACTTTCTCGCTGTATTTGGAGAAACACGTCCATAATTTTAGACGGTAAACATTGACGAGGTAATATTTCCATTGACCGGGCAACGTTGAAAATTTTCACAGGTGATTGGAAAAATCCGTTAAAGATGGATGACTATCCGTTACCCCGCCCACAAGAAGTACTTCCAACTGGGTCTCTTGCAGTGAAGCTTAAAACTAGCAAAACTTAGAAGAAAGATAATAACCTTGAAATCTGCGCTCACTATCTTGTAGAAGGTGTCACTTGGGACGATGTCTTCAAACTGCAAAATGGGTGCAGAGGCCGCCACAGCCCCGATCGCAATGTGAGGATACTTCAATCGCATCCAAGATGCCAACACTACATTAAAAAACAGGCCGATTCCAGTCAATTGAACAATTAGTGACTGGTAGATGCAGATCATGTACCGTTCTCCACAAATTGCAAGAAGTTACTGGAACAAAGCAGATACATACTTCCTCCGTAAGAACCACCAAAGAGAACCACTGGAGATGCGGCAGCTGTCAAGTTTTTCTTCAAGTCAATTACGAGAGTAGCAAAATCTGCGAGGGCCTGCTCCGAGGTCAAAGTGCTCAAAGAGTCTGCATCTTTGTACGATGCTTCCATGGTCCCATACGGCATGGATTTCCCATAGTACCGGTGCTGCAAACAACACAAAAACAAAGCTCCTCATTACCTGCCTACCAACAGACACCTGTGGGCTAAGGTCTATCTTGTGAGGTATTTCTGAAACATTGTATCATAAATGAAAACATATGCATGCAGGACAAAGAGTTCAAATTAGAAAATGCCACTATCAAGGTAATAGCAAATGGCTGCAAGCACCGGAATTGGAGGTTCTCATTCCAAATAGCAACTCGAAAGAATGTGAATATGTATGATAGAGTGACAGACCAGAATGTAAACCGACAGAAGAATCCTACATTGACGTCCTTAATAAAATTATCAATAGGAGCTGGATAGCATGGGTAACAACGCACGCTTCTGCTGCATGCAATAAGCCATAAAATTTGTTGTATGACATGAAAGGTATATGGATTCCAGCCCTCTACCAACTTGAAATTGAGGTTTGCAAAGCTGATCAATACTTTTCTTGAAACCCACCAAATATTTTGTGATCAGTATGACTCTGAAAATACTCCTCACGAAAGCAGTGATTTACCAGACAGAAAATCAACAAGACAAACGCTGTTTCATCCGAAGCCTCGTCAGAAGCCGATGAACGTTCTCAATTCAGAGAAGTGGTATATTGGACACCGAAGCAATCTTGTGGACAATTGTAATTCTAGCACCGTAACCGCGGTAAAGAAACATACTAATCCCCGCAACAGGGCGCATGCTCACTAGCAACAATATCCCGATTTAATCCCAATCCAGCGAAACATTCAGAACTCACTCCGAATTGAGAAACACACTTCACGCAATCATAATAGAAAGACAACTCAGGGGATAAATAATTACCTCGGGAAAGAGGATAAGAGCCCCAAACGAGGGAGCAATTTCCCACAGAAACCCAGTGTTCTTAGCAAACCATTCGACGTCTCCCTCATTCCCACAGTACATAAAAATGGGACCTCTGTCAGCAGCCCCCTTCCAATAACGCTTCTCAATCAAGTACCGCTGCTGGAACGAGGCCTCCCTACGAAAGCTGAAGTGGTCGATGACCTGCGTGAAATAATCCACCGCGTACGTCACCGAGCTCTGCCCCACATTCTTCCGACCTCCGAGCAATCCAATCGGAAACAGTGGTCTCGGCGGCCGCGCTGCAGAGGTGAACAGCCCACTAAGGGCAAGCAGCAGCATCACCCACACCCGCACCCACACTATGACCCCTGTCATGGTGAAATTGCGACAGCAAAATTCCCTCTTCCAACAACTCTCGTCTCACTCGTCAAGTGAGACACTAAACACCAACAGCATCCACCGAAAGAACGTTCTTTCTGACGCAACCCATCCCGTACCCAGCAACAGAACCGAACTCTTTCCACGATCTCCTGTAACAGAACGAATTCTACGATACCCACTTTCTGTACATGGGTGCAATCGACGTGAAGCGACGGCATTGGCAGCGATCGATCGAGGGCTCGCTCCTTGGCACACGCTACCCACCTCGGGGAGAGGGAAAATTGGGGGTGCCGTTGTTGTTGTAACCCTGAACTGTGGGCAGAGCCCTTTTTCGCACTGTGTCGATGACGATGATGTCGATGTTGCTAAGACGCCCAACATGCCTCAATCATCTATCTTCCGGAATTGCGAGTCGAATGCTCCATATCCATTTCAATTGGTGGTCTGCATTGAAATCTACTACGTGTGCACGTGAGAATTCTGATGGCATTTTGTAGTTTCAGTAACTACTAGATGTGCAATTGTGGAAAGATATCCATATTATAGTAAACTCTATAATATGGGGAATGTTAAATAGACCCATGGTTTTAGAGAATCCACCCATGGTTTTAATGAATCGATCCATGGTTTTAATGCATCGACCCATCTTTGATATGATAATTATTACGAATGTGGTTGGTTTTTATTGGTTATCCAATAGTAGAGAAATAAATCCAAAGATTATATATGTATATATAATATACATATAATATACATATATATATATATATATGTATACATATAATATACATATATATATATATGTATACATATAATATACATATATATATGTATACATATTATATATGTATATTTTCCATGATATATGGGTTGATTTAGTAAAAACTTGGATCTATTTAACATTTTCCTATAACAAAGCAAGTTTGGTTACATGATAAAGAGATAAAAAAGCCTTTTTATTGGCCAAAATGAAAGAAATTGATAACATGTCAAGGACACAAATTGGAAGAAGATGTGTAAAGTCATGGAATTTGTGTCAAAAGGAAAGTGACAAAATAGAAGAAACTATTTATATTCAAGGAAGAACTAGAATGGCTATTGCCAAAGACTAGAAAACATAAGACTCTAGAAATTAGATTAAAAACCAAGAAAGGAATTGACAAGATTGACGAAGGCCTCACTCTTGCTTCTATATATACTACTTAACTAAGAAATACATGGCAATATGCTATAAGATCTGTAATATGCATCCAACTTGCAAGACACATGTCTAATTTGCAAGGCAAGTTTCCTAGGTGTGCACCATATGTTCAACTTCTACTACAAGTGGTCAACATGTTGACATGTGGCCTCCATGTTGGCCAAATTTTCAACCTACCAATCACCTATAGACATGTATAAGGCAAAGCAGCGTCTATGAAGCTTCTACGAAGCTTTCCACAAGATATTATCATATTTATGTACTTTGACTTATTTCTATCTATTCTTATTATTTAGATAATTATCAAAATAAATATGTATGTCTGTGACATTACTCCCCCTTCTAAAGACAAGTTCCACAAGGAGCGGTGATTACATATAGATTACATGAAGTCAAAGATGCACGGAGTTATATTTGCCATGTACTTTGATCTTTGTTCTCTTTGAAGGTAGTTGATAGGTTCCTTCAACCATCGATAATGTTCCATACTAGGGCGAGAAGACCACCCTGATATTTGATCATTATTGAGGCCCTCATAACTACGTTCAAATAAAACATTAGTAATACCATCAGGAATGGTTCCTATGTCTAAAAGTATCACTAAACATCGGGAGTCCCTTCTAAGGTCCTGGTACTAAACGCGTTGTAACTTGCCATCTATTCGAGGAAGAATATGTCATTCTTCAGGGTCTTCATCTCAATTTTGCCATCTCGAAGGTTGTGATAGTCGCAATGTCTTGTTGGGTAGCTTAGCAAATGGTAGCTCTCGAGTTGAATCTGCTAGTTATTGATTCTTCATCTCCTAAGTACTAAAAAATACAAAGAAACAATGATATAAGATAGAATGAAATTTCCATCAAGCTTGTTTTGCTTTATAGCAAAGAATTTCTTAATTCTTCATCTTGATTTTGATACATGTCATTGATGAAAAGCTTTAACTTTGGCTGATGCATTTACTAGATTCTTAGATGGCTCCCATGTGCATTCATTAATGTCATATCTATGCCAATGTACTAGATATTTTAACCTATTTCGATGCTGCCTTGAATCTAAGACTTATTTCACATCAAATTCTTCATTATTGTCTACTTCTATAGGAGGTGGTGGTATTTGTCTCCTTTCTTATATATCCATTGTCTTGTATGACTCAAGTAAAGATACATGGAATACAAGATGGATTTTCATAGACTATAATAGGTGTAATTAATAAGCAACTGGATTGATTTTTTCACAAATGAGAAATGGTCTAAGCCTAAGATAATCCAGCTTGTCACAAAGACAAATAGTTTTAATATTACAATGAAGTAACCATAGCTTATCCCCTACATGGAATTATGATTGTTCCTTGCGATAGACATCTACATTGGCTTTTTGTTGTTCTTGAGCTTCTTTTAATTTTGCCTTCATTGTTGCATGTAGCTTTGACAATCAATTTGCCACATCTTTTGTCGTAGGATTATTAACTTTTGAAAAGTCAAAATTGTCAAATCATGGATGATAATCGTAATTGGCACCATTTCATTAGTTTCTTCTTTAATTTAAAGAACATTGTAACCATCCATTCTCCTCATTGGATGTAATATCAGAATACCTTAAACCAACAACTTAAGGTATTTCAGCTATCTAAGGGGGGTTTTTTTTTTGGAAAAAAGAAAAAAGAAAAAAGAAAAAAAAATGATGGAAAACTAAAGTTTTGATTTATTCCAAAAGAAAAAATTACAAAAGCTACAGTGGTTTAATTGATATAAAATTTTAAAGTACTTTATATTTTGAGCCTTTGAACCAATACATAGACTTAATCAGAATCATCTATAAAAACATATTAATCGACCATCTCCATCACAATAAACTATTAACTTCATCTTTATAAAGTTTGCCAATCATTGGTGGGCTTGGAATGAACTTGAAATCTTTCTATAAGAAGAATCTTTCTTTTGGTTTTGCACAAATGCAAGTTCTCATAAGGTCTACATATATATTTAAGGAAGTAACATGGTTTAAGGTATTTTGATGTTATTCTAATTATAAATATTTGAGGAAGAAAATATATGAAAAAAAAAGTTCCATAATAAGCCAAGTGGATCAATGGATGAATGGCAAATTAAAGATTTATTAATATCCTTGAAAAGTCCTATCATTCAAGTAGAAATGAATTCCTTTATTGTTACAAATATATACTTTTATCATATTTAATAATAATAGATAAATTAATTATTATTTTTAAATTCATATTAATTAAGTATTTATAAAAAAAACCATATATTAGTATTATAATAATAATAAGTTCCATTACAATGTCTTGATATTATAAATAATAAATTATATACATATTTGATTATTATATTTAATGTGAATGAAATGACTAATATGAATTAATATTAGAAGTCTATAATAATAGCTTATATATTATAAAATTTATTTTAGTTGGATATTTATAATGCTCTAGTGACAATTTTATTGCTAATTATTTCTTACATATAAGCAATATTTGTATGTATACCAACAATATTAGTGAAGTGTAAATAGATTAAAATAATTTTTAATTTTCATGAATGTTGTAGATGACAAAAAAATTGGTTAAAAGGTTTGAATTTCTAATATTTATTTAATTTAATGCATGATATGTTGTATTTAGAATTTACCTTCGGAAACTTAAAATCATGTAATCCATGATGTTCTGTTATTAATTAGATAATCATGATTACTCACAAATATTTTAACTTTATTATACAAATAATTCGAAAATATTTTAATTTATCATATTTTTATGAAAAGTGCAACTTCTTAATAACTTTATTAAAAATCTAATCAATTGCTATATTTTATAAAATTTTGGTATATAAAAAATGTTGCTTTTAGTCATGCAATTACAGGAGTTTTCAATATTAGAGTAAAAAATATTTACAAATAAAATTATAATTTTATTATGACCAATACAAAGAAATTAAAATAAAATAAACTAGCTCCTTTTGATAGTAAGTGTTACTAAAATTTAAAATTAAACATTATATTGGTATGGTGAAGGAATTTTTTTAAAATACAACTTATTTATAAATTCAATTATAACATGAAAAAATAATATTCATGTCATATATTTGGTGAAGGCATATTAAATTTTAAATAATATAAAGTGTTTCTATTAAGATTTACCTCAATTGGTTTACAAATGTTAATAATGCAAATGCTCTACTTATGATTGAGGTTTTAGATTTATTTTATATATAATATTTTTTATTTAAAAATATATTTTAATAAAATATATTTTATTTTTAGCATATAAAATTATAAAATTTATATTTGAATTTTTTTATAAATATTTTTTTAATTTTTATTTTTTTAAAATTAAAAATTAATATTATTGAAATAAAATAATAAACTATATTTAGTAAAAATCCTTCTTAAATTTGAAAGTTTTAATCATGTGGTGTGCTAAAATAACCTTATTATATACTTTATAAACCATGTAAACAAACTCCACTTTTAAAATTGAAGAATCCAATATATTAAGAATAAATAATTTTTAGAAAGTTTTTTTTGGTTATTTGAAATATTATCAATTCTTTTTTATTATTATTGCTCATATAAGTGATGTTAGATAATTTTATGAATTGTAGATATAATTATAAGATCTTAAAAATCTTCATCTATTTTTAGAATCTTATAAGATACTAAATTTAGATAGATAAGAATAATTAGATTAATATGAATAGATTCATAATATAATATAATTAAATTAACATAAATAGATTCATAGTACAATGTAAGCTATTATTTAAAATAAAATTTAAAAAATAATAAAATTCTTTATGTCAAATAATGGTATAATAAAGTGGAGATAAACAAATCAATCTATTTTAATTTAATGACACTCATAACTTTCAAAATATTTTATGCTTATTGGTTTTCATGAAAATTTAAAGATTGACATAGTGATTGTTTTGCAATGAATAATTTTTAATAAGCCTAACGTCATTAATTATATGTGTTTTTTTTTGAAAATAAAATAATGCACATTGATAAGAATTTTTTTAAACAAAAAACATCCATATGTCTACAACTTTCATAAAAAAATCAGAA